GACCCATCAGGCCATGATTAACGGAGTCCATGCGCCACACCGCCCTTTTACAGGGTTGTGTTTTAAGTGCGGGAAGCCGGGCCACATGTATAAAGACTGCCCCGACAGGACGCTAGGGAAGAGGAACGACGGGAAAGAGCCGGGAAAGGGGAAGAGTCAGTAACAGACGGGCCCCTTACTGACTGTGCTCTGTCGCCCGAACCCCACCATCCCCATCGGGTCGTGATTCCAGTTCATGCAATCGATCGCACTTGACCGAATAACGGGGATAATCATGTGGATCACACAGTGCTGGTTGTAGGAACGGTGTTGAAGAAAAAAAAAATAAAAATTGTTTATCGATGGCGGGGCTAGCCATAGCCTCTTCAACTTGGCGACAGCAAAAAAAATGGAAGTTGCAGCTGGACAGGTGTCTGCCCGAAATTGACGCTCGCCTCGTGGATGGGACGCCTCTGGCGATTTTGGAGGAAACACGGACGGTGTGGGTTGAGTGCGGCGACGATTTCGGCTTCAGCATGAAGTTTCTCGCGACGACGCTGGACGGCTGCAACGTACTCCTGGGACGCGATTGGCTGCGACGGCACAACCCGATAATCGACTAGACGACGGGCTCGTGCAGCATCAGCAAGCACGAGGGGCTAATTACTCTGCCCGCGTGGACTCCGGACGACATCAAGTCTACATGCGACAAAGCAGTCTGCATCACACGTCATTTCAACAGGGGTGCGCAGCTAGACGCCGTTCATCTACGCGAGTTGGCAGCCGACACCGATGGAAACGACATCGACAAATTGTGTGCAGCGGTACCACCCGAGCTGGCCAGCTGATTCAGCAATATCCTGAGATTTTTCCGGACGACCTGCCACCTGGACTACCACCCGAACGCCACACCCGAAGACCACAGAATCACCCTCGAGCCCGGCGTGCAACCGACTTTTCGTACACAGTGGCGGCTGACTCAGCCCGAACTCGCTGAGCTTCGAAGTTAACTTGAGTCACTGTTGGAGAAGGGCTTCATCCGACCCAGTACTTCGCCCTTCGCCGCACCGATCCTGTTCACACCGAAGAAGGACGGCGGCATTCGCATGTGCATCGACTATCGCGCGCTCAACCGGGTTACCATCAAATCTCTTTATCCCATCCCACGCACCGACGACCTCCTCGACCAACTTCGCGGCGCTCGCTACTTCTCGAAGATTGACCTATGCGGCGATTACTACCAGATAAGAGTCTTCGCCGACGATTGTCACAAGACTGCATTCCGAACCCGCTACGGCAGTTACGAGTTTATAGTGATGCCTTTTGACCTCACGAACGCGCCTTCGACTTTACAACTAACCATGAACAGGGTGTTTCGCGACCTTCTCGACAAGTGCGTTATCGTCTACTTGGACGATATCTTGGTTTTAGCAGGACGCGCGAGCAGCATCTCTGCGACCTCGACGCAGTGCTTAAATGGCTACAGGACAACCGGCTCATCACCAAGGGGTCTAAGTGCGAGTTTTTTAAGCAGGAGTTGGAGTTTTTGGGGCACGTCATCTCACGCGACGGCATCAAAATCGACCCGAAGAAAATCAAGACCATCCAGGAGTGGAAGGCCCCGACTAATGTCACGGAACTTCAGAGTTTTCTGGGGTTTGTGAATTATGTCCGGCGGTTTATCCCGAATATGGCGGGGATAACCGGCCCGCTGACCGACCTGCTGCACAAGGACAAGAATTTCAAGTGGAGGGGGGAAGCTGAAGCGACTTTTCAGGAGCTGAAGCAATTGTTGGTGTCCCCTCCAGTTCTTCCCATCGCCGACCCATCTCGACCGTTCGAAGTCGTCACGGACGCTTCGGATTTCGCCATCGGCGCAGTGCTGCTCCAAGATTTCGGCAACGGCTTACAACCGATCGCCTACGAGTCACGCAAATTGCAGGCAGCCGAGCGCCCGATTAACGACAAGGAGATGTTCGCCATCATCCATGCCTTCAAACTGTGGTGCTGCTACTTGACGGGTGCCGACGTCACTGTTCGCACCGATCATAAATCCCTACAGTACCTTCGAGCGCAACCCAACCTCAACCCGCGACAAATCCGGTGACTCGACTACATGGTGTGACATTCCCACTACGGGATCACCTACAAGAAGGGCGCGAATAATATCGTCGACGCCCTGACCCGCCCGACAGTCCAATCCGCTGCTGTACTGATCACCCACTCAAACCCGCTCTTTTCGGGGCTATTCACCCATGGGTACAAGACGGACCTCGGCAATCATTTGCAGGCGACGCCGCTGAAGGGGGATCATTTTCTAAAAGCCGGAACTGACTGAGTTTGGGTACCCGCTTATCGCCTGCTCCGGGAATTGCTTATCCAGGAGGTCCATGATTCGAACCTCTCCAGACATTTCGGAGTTGACAAGACGCAGAAAATTCTGCGCCGTCAGTACTATTGGCCCGATTCTAACTTTGACGTGCAGTGTTATGTGTCTTCATGCAAAATGTGCCAGGCAATGAAATCGACACGTCAGCGACCAGCTGGGCTGCTGCAACCCCTCGAGCCACCCGAGTGACCATGGCAACAGGTGGCAATGGATTTTGTCACGGGGCTACCAGCTGGCGCGTCTGGCAACGATGCAGTACTCGTCGTCGTCGATCGCCTCACAAAAATGGCGCACTTCGCACCGTGTCGTACAACAATCACAGCCGAAGAAACTGCGCGCCTCTTCATCTCGACCGTTGTTCACTTGCACAGAATCCCGTCTGCGATTATCAGCGTCAGGGGCCCGAAGTTTACATCGAAGTTCTGGAAAGAGACGTGGGCGCAGTACGACACTCGACTACAGTTCTCGTCGGCCTACCACCCGCAAACCGACGGCCAGACCGAGCGGACCAATCAGACGATGGAGCAGCTCATCCGCACGAACAGGCCCGACCATGCTCGATGGGAAAATTTACTCCCCATGCTGGAATTTGCGTACAACAACACTCCGTCCAGCACGACCAACCATTTCCCGTTCTTCCTGAACTACAGGATGGATACAGTGGTACCCACGGCAACGACCCCTGAGAATCCGGTACCACGCTCGCAACACTTTGTGACGGAACTCCAAGCAATCCGCGAAAAAGCTATCGCAACCATCCGAAAAGCTAATACAACCGCCCGCAAATACTCGGATTTGCTACGCCAGGAAATCACCTTGGCAGCAGGGCAACTAGTGCTTCTCGACACCAAAAGCCTCCGCCTGCCCGGCTCTTCAAAGCTTCGCCCGCGCTTCTGCGGACCTTTCCGCATTTTGAAAATGATCACACCCGTCACGGCGAAAATTCTTCTGCCCGACGACTGGCGTATACACGATGCCTTCCACGCCAGCATCCTCAAACCCTTTGTACCAGCCACAACGGACATTGCCCACCAAAATTCAGCGCCGACAGCTCACCCTGTCCGAGAACCGACGCTGAACCCGTCAACGATCTTGGCGCATCATGTTCGGCTTGACGCATCCGGATGCCACGTGGATTTTCTGATTCGTTGGACTGGCCGCACCAGCGAGGACGACACTTGGGTGCCATCCGCCTCGCTTGACACCTCTTCGCTACTGCGCGATTACCTCGCCCGGAAGCTTGTCGCGGATGTTGACCACCTTTCTTAAGGGGGGGGGGGGGGGGGAGTGTAAGGAAAAACCCTTTTTCCTTACTGGGGTTTACTCAACCGCGTACAACCCCAACTTTCGGAAGTGCACGTTCGGCCGCTTTGCTTGCTGCCGAAGCAACCTCGCGTCGCCTTCGACTTTCCTTTGCCCAACCTGCACCCAACCTCGTGTTCCCGAGGTTCCCGCCTAGCTAGGTTGTCTCGCTATATAATCGTGTGCCTCTCCTTGTATCGTCAATTCATTTAGTCACAAGATTTGTTACCTGTTTTCCGCGCAACTTTGTTTGACAACTCATAACATTGGCACTCCGAACAATCAGTGCTGTTCAGGCCCTCATATTCGTTTTGGGCCACACTTTCTCATCAGTGTTGGTAAAAAAAAAAAAACTTTCTGTCAGGGTCGTTACAAAAATAAACCCTGAAAAATCAGTGTTGTCACATTAAAAAAAAAAAAAAAAAAAAAAAAACCTTGCTCATCAGGGCTGGTACATTTATAACGCTGATGTATCCAGCCTTCATCATAATGTGACGGGAACGGGGGGAGGGAGACAGTGGTGGTGCAGCTATGGTGGTCCAGGTTAGGCAATCGCATGTGCTAAGAAAGGTCTCTGTTTTGTCACGTTATCAGACAAGTGCTCGCAAGCAACAGTCGATAATGTTCCTCAACAACCTTTCGGGAGCTTTGCGCAGTGCCACGTCACCCCACGCTTTCTGTCTCGCACTTCGCCAATCAACAAAACGTGAACTGAAGAGTCGGTTAGCCAAACAAATGGTGTCTGAGGCGAGTCTGACAAGATGTAGATAAGGGGGGTGTAGGAAACAGCCCTAAGATGCCGTTTCACGTGATTGACGGTGACGGCGAAAATTTTGGGCGAAAATTTTGGCAGATTCATCGAATCTAGGCAATTTCGCTAACAGGGATGGCCCCACTACTGTATGATTTGAATCAGGGTCCCCTAGCAATAGTAGGCTGAAAATTCAGGCCTGGTACAAGAAAGTTAGCTGAAAAAACAGTGTAGGCATTAAAAAAAAACTCTCATCAGGGTTGGGACCTAAAAACACCCTGAAAATCAGGGTTCAAAGGCAAAATCAGGGTAAAATTCCTGCAATCTGAGGGCTGTTAGAACAAAGACCTCTAATGTTAGCAAAACAAAGAATCCTACTATAGAAATGGAAGGCAAAAGGATAATCTGCCCTGACAACAAGTTTGGTGCGTATCCTTCACAACTCCACCTCTAAACATCCCATAATGAGCTTACGAGAAAAAACATGTCAGTAAAAATAGCATTATCACCCAGACATTACAACCAACAGCAGAGACACTCCTCTCAATACAAAAAGCCAAGAGTAAAAACCAAAAGAAGTTACAAACCCTCATCGACAGGTGTGCTATCACCCACATCGCTAGCAACCGCCAAAGCATCAGCCAGAAGATCTGATGTATCTGCATCATCCACTGCAAGGTCCTCATTCAGCAATACTCCAGCATCATTACCCCCGCCGCCATCCGCATCATTCGTGTCACCAGCTGCAGGAGCACTTTCAACGGCATCAGCAGGAGCAGGGGCACCAGCAGCCGAGGTAGCAGCAGCTCCAGTATCAGCAGCACCAGCAGCACCAGCACCAGCACCAGCACCAGCACCAGCACCAGCAGCAGCAGCAGCAGCAGCAGCAGCAGCAGCAGCAGCAGCAGCAGCAGCAGCAGCAGCAGCAGCAGCAGCAGCAGCAGCAGCACCACCAGCAGCAGCAGTTGGGGGGCCGAGGCTACCACTGCTTCCGAGGTTGGCTCGAGCTCGAAGGTCATCGAATGCCCGCATGCTTTCTGCGTCAAACCCTCCCGCAAACTGCACACATGGGTGAAAAATGGTAATTGCACGCGATAGCCTTGGGGTCACATAGAATGGTTTGTGAGGCGTCTCAACACTCTTCTTGAGCTCGAAGCTCATCGAATGCTCGCACGCTTCCTGCATCGAACCCTCCTGCGAACTACACACAAATGGTGGACAGCAGTAAATTCAGGGCGGCAGAAATGCGCAGCAAAGGTCGGACGGTGCGTGGTGTGTGTGGAGAAGGCGGAATCGCTTTTGAGAATTCTCAGAAGGAATCACTTTTGAGAATTCTCAAAAGAAATCACTTTTGAGAATTCTCAACGGTGCGTGGTGTGTGTGGAGAAGGCGAACCGCATGGCCTGCAGGAGAAGGAGCTCGAGCATAGGCTGGTGATACCGCATAATACCGCACACAACAGCTCAGAGAACGCACCTGGTGTGTGGAGAAGGAAGGGGAATCTCACCTGGTGTGTGCGGAAGGCGAATCGAACGGCTTGCAGCCGCAGGAACTCCCGGATGGGCTGACTGACGGCAACACAGGGAGAGAGAGACAGCACAGTGAACGCACCTGGTGTGTGCGGAAAGCGAATCGCACGGCTTGCAGCAGCAGGAACTCGCGGATGGGCTCGCTCTCGGGCTCGTTGCCCAGCTTGTCGAGCTCCGATGTGACTCGTGTGATGTAGCAGCGGGCCAGACGCACCGATGCCAGGCGGATCTGAGTGGAGGCAGGGAAGCCGAGGGGAAGGGAGAGGGAGGGGAGAGGGAGGTGGAAGATCAGGAGATGGGCTCGCTCTATGGCTCGTTGCCTAGCTTGTCAAGCTCCGATGTGACCATCGCAATGTAGCATCTTAGATTTCCCTCACCATCACCATCAGCTATTCCCCTCACCATATGCCCCCTCCCCTCACCTTGCCCACAAGGCCGTTATCGAGGATCCAGTAGGTGGGCACTCCGAACTCAGCATAGCGTGAGATGGCCATGTCTCTCGTGCGCAGCAGTGCGTATATGCTCTGCTCCACCCTGCACACAGCAAGAGGGGGATGTTCGACAGAAACACATTCCTGTGAGGAGACATATCGTAATGTGGCCATGTCTCTCGTGCGCAGCAGCGCGTATATGCTCTGCTCCACCCTGCACGTGGAATAGGAGAGAGAAAGACATGCGTCAAACCTTGATAGGACATGCCTTTTGAGAATTCTCAACTGTGACGAGACATAGCGTGATGTGGCCATGTCCCTTGTGCGCAGCAATGCGTACATGCTCTGCTCCACCCTGAATTAGAGAAAGAGAGGGACATTTGAGAGAAATAGCATACAACCACGAGGAGAGACATCATATGAACAAACAATGTAGCGTGAGCTGGCCATGTCCCTTGTGCGCAGCAGCGCGTATATGCTCTGCTCCACCCTGCACACAGCAAGAGGGGGACGTTCGACAGAAACACATCCATCAAAACCTGCAGGCACCGGCGATTCTCGTGCGCAGCAGTGTGTATATGCTTGCTCCATTCTGCACTAAAGCACCACTCACTCCATCCCCCACTCGCGCCCGCCACAACCCCTCCTCAATTCCACTTTTGAGGCGCCTCAAAATATCTCAGAACCACCTCCATGTCCATGTTCCCCCACCTCCATGTCCATGTTCCCCCACCTCCATGTCCATGTTCCCCCACCTCCATGTCCATGTTCCCCCACCTCCATGTCCATGTTCCCCCACCTCCATGTCCATGTTCCCCCACCTCCATGTCCATGTTCCACCACCTCCCCTCTCTTCCCATCACCCTCGCGCACAATGCAACCCACTCACTCACTTTTCAAGCACGTGGAACATCTTCTTCAGCGCCTGGTCGGCTGGAGAAGGATTTGGTCATCCACGTAGCTGCCCAGATCCCTCTCCAGCCGCACCAGCTCCTGGAACTCAAAGGCCGTCTCAAAGCACTCATGCTACCCCCCACTCCCACCCACCCACACTCACTTCTCCAGCACGTGGAACATCTTTTTAAGTGCCTGGTCGGTGGGCACGTCAGGGTCATCCACGTAGCTGCCCAGGTCGCGCTCCAGCCTGACTAGGTCCTGGAACTCAAAGGTGCACCTTGCAACACTCAACTGACCCCACACTCACTTTTCAAGAACGTGGAACATCTTCTTCAGCGCCTGGTCGGTGGGCACGTCAGGGTCGTCCACGTAGCTGCCCAGGTCGCGCTCCAGCCTGACCAAATCCTGGAACTCAAAGGCAGCCTCCCGCAGTGCATCCGCCTTGGCCTCAGGCCAGTCAAAGTGCTTCAGCACTGCTCGCTCATCCACCTGGAAGGGTGGGGAGGGTAGATTGATGGGGAGAGAGAAGGGTTGAGATGGGTTCGCTTCAGCCTCACTAGGTCCTGGAACTCAAAAGCAGCCTCCCGCATGGCGTCTGCTTTCATGGCGTCACGTCAGCCTTGCTCCATGCGTCCGCCTTCACCTCGGGCCAGTCAAAGTGCTTCAGCACTGCTCGCTCGTCCACCTTGTGTGGTGTGGGTGGACGAGAGACGGGTAGAGGGATTAGGGAAGAGGTGGGTTTGGATGGCTTCACGCTCCAGCCTCACTAGGTCTTGGAACTCAAAGGCTGCCTCCGTCAGTGCGTCCGCCTTGGCCTCGGGCCAGTCAAAGTGCTTCAGCACTGCTCGATCGTCCACCTAAAGGGAGGGGGGATGGGGAGGAGAGACGAGGGAGAGGAGAGGGAGGGGAAAGTAAGGGGAGAAGGGGAGCCGCCTCCCTAAGGGGACAGCCTTGGCCTCGGGCCAGCCAAAGTGCTTCAGCACTGCTCGCTTGTCCACCTGAGAGGGGTGGGGGGGAAAGTGAAGGGGAAGGGAGGAGAGATTAGGGAGAGAGAGGGAGGGGAGAGTAAGGGGAGAAGGGGAGCCGCCCCCCTCAGGGGACAGACAGCCTTGGCCTCGGGCCAGCCAAAGTGCTTCTCGCTCGTCCACCTTTGTGGGGGGAGGGGAGGAGAGATGATGGGAGAGGAGCCTTAGGGTGTCCGCTTTCGCCCTGGGCCAGTCAATGTGCTTCAGCACAGAGGGGTGGGGTGGTGGGAACCTAAGGGAGTGGGGAGAGGGGAGAGGGGAAAAGGGGGAGAGGAGAGGAGAGGAGAGGAGAGGAGAGTAAAGGTTTGTGGAGGAGAGAAGAAAGAAGGGCAGGGGGGAGAGAGGGAAGGAGGTTGGGCGGGATGGGGAAGGGAGGGGGAGAAGTGAAGGGAGAGATACTGCTGGAGTCAAGACAGAATTGCGGCTGCTAAATTGGACATAACAGGAAGGCGAGGGCATACCAGGAAGGCGAGCTCCTCGTCCAGCCAGTTGACCAAGGCCACCACGTCCTCGATGTCAAAGCACGAGGCGTCGCGCACCTCCCTCGCCAACGTGTTGATTGAGAGAGAGGCTCAACTCAAAGCAGGCCGTACAGGGCGCTCCAACATACCAGGAAGGCCAGCTCCTCGTCCAGCCAGTTGACGAACGCCACCGCGTCCTCAATATCGAAGTAGGCAGCGTGCCGCACCTCCCTTCCCTTGCCAATGTGTTGATTGATAGTGCGGCTCAAAGCAGGCCATACAGGGTAACGGGGCAACCCCTACAGGCGAGACTGACACTGCTCCCTTGGTCTCACCAGGAAGGCCAGCTCCTCGTCCAGCCAGTTGACAAACGCCACGACGTCCTCGATGTCGAAGTAGGAGGCTTCCCGCACCTCCCTCGCCAATGTGTTGATGAAATCGCCCTGCATCTCCACGTCCTGCTTGATCTGTTGTGGGGGGGAGTGGGCGAAATGACAGGGTTGTGGGAGGGGACGTGAGGGCATGGGAGGGCAAGTTGCGAATGTAATGAAGGAGGTCAACGAGTCGATGAAGTCGCCCTGCATCTCCACGTCCTGCTTGATCTGTAGGCGGGGGGAACGGGATAAAAGTCAGGGATGTGGAAATGAGGAAAGGTGAGGGCAGGGAAGTGGGTGTAGGCATCCCAAATCAGCGTGTTGATGAAATCGCCCTGCATCGCCACGTCCTGCTTGATCTGTAGGCGGGGGGAACGGGATAAAAGTCAGGGATGTGGAAATGAGGAAAGGTGAGGGCAGGGAAGTGGGTGTAGGCATCCCAAATCAGCGTGTTGATGAAGTCGCCCTGCATCTCCACGTCCTGCTTGATCTGTTGGCGGGGGGAGCGGGAGAAATGACAGGGTTGTGGGAGGGGAGGTGAGGGCAAGTTGCGAATGTAAGGAAGGAGGTCAATGAGTCAATGAAGTGTTAATGAAGTCGCCCTGCATGTCCACGTCCTGCTTGATCTGTAGGCGGGGGGAACGGGATAAAAGTCAGGGATGTGGAAATGAGGAGAGGTGAGGGCAGGGAAGTGGGTGTAGGCATCCCAAATCAGCGTGTTAATGAAGTCGCCCTGCATCTCCACGTCCTGCTTGATCTGTAGGCGGGGGGAAGTGGGAGAAATGACAGGGTTGTGGGAGGGGAGGTGAGGGCAAGTTGCGAATGTAAGGAAGGAAGGAGGTCAACGAGTTAATGAAGCCGCCCTGCATCTCCACGTCCTGCTTGATTTGTTGAAGCAACAGGGGTGTGTGGGGCAGGGCGGAAGGGAAGAGGTGTCAACTGGATATGGAATAACAGCAAAGATAGAAAGAAAACAGTTCTTTACCAGCGGTATGATGTTCTCCTTTTTATACCCCTATCAAGGAACCCGAGAAGGGAACTCAGCGAGAAAGCTGCACTTACAGTGAGCAGGTGGGACGAGCGCCCTTCAATTTCTCCAAATCATCTCTCCCCTCACTGCCGTCATACTCAGACCCTCCTCCCCTCCCACCATCCACTGTTTTTTGTGTTTCGTTTGCTTGACGAACCCCCGAAGAGAAAACCGCACTTACCGCGAGCAGGTGAGACGAGCGCCCTTCAATCTCCCCAATCATATCTCCCCTCACTGCCGTCATACTCAGACCCTCCTCCGCTTCCCTCCCCCCAACGCCTCCTCCCATCCCCTCCCGCTGCATCCTCATCAGCTGCTGATAAAATGCCACCACCTCAGGCGCCCTCCTCATCCCCTCATCGTCCATCCCCCCCTTGCCTCCCAGTTTCCCGCCCTTGGGCAGTGCGGGCGGCAGTGGAACCACCCCGCTGCCCGGCGGCAGGGGCGGCGGAAGCGGCACTGCGCCGCCCGCTGCTTTGTTGAGCAGGGCGGCGGCGTGCGTCACTTCCATCTCCTCGTCCAAGTGGACTGGGCGGGTGTTGCGGGGCTTGGGTGGCGCGGACGGCACTCGAGGCTCCCGCTTCTCCAGGGCGGCAACGCGCGGCGTTTTCCCAACAGACGCGTTGGCGGAAATATTCGATTTTTTCAGGGCAGCCGCAGCTTCGGCCTGCTGAAGGTTAAATATCTGCCGCTCCTGTGCCAGGAGATGCCGATCCTTGAACCCCGGAAATCGACGGTGCAGATTGTCCTTGTCGGGGCGAGACACGGATCGACGGACGAGATTGAAGGAGTCACCGACGGTGAAATCGCCCATGGGATTCATCATGCCGGGAGGAGGCTGCTTCATCTTGAGCTTTCGGAGAATCGCCTCCCGCCTCTCCTCATCCTGACCTCCCTCCCCTCCAAATTCTCCACCCTCTCCTCCTCCCATTCCGCTTCCTCCTTCCTTTCCTCCTCCCCCACCTGCTCCTCGGTGCCGTGCCCTTCGCTCCCCTTCGTATCTGGCTGTAGCCCGAGCAGCAGCATCAGAAACAGCATCACCACCACCACCAGCTCCAGAACTCCCATCACCACCAATACTACCCCCACCACCCCCACCACCCCCACCACCCCCCACCACCCCTACCACCCCCACCAGCAGCAGCACCAGCACCACCACCAGCACCACCACCAGCACCCCCACCAACACCCCCACCACCACCAGCACCAGCAGGAGCAGTTTCCTCGAGGTCTCTGGCGGACTTGTTGCGGCGCCAGGAGAGGAAGTTTTTGAGCTTGCTCGCAGCATCCTGCTGTGACATCGCCTGCAGAGACATGGTCCGCCCCAGCGCATCCTTCCCTCCCCCTCCCCCTCCCACACCCGCACCCCCACCACCACCCTCCCCAAACCCACCACCCTCACCACCAGCAGCCACGCCCACTCCCATCCCCCACCCTCCTCCTCTCCTTCCCGTCCCAGGCCCAGGCGTTCTCGCCTTCCTCCCTCCTCCCGCTCCCCCTCCTCCTCCTCCTCCCCCTCCTCCTCCCCCTCCACCAGCACTCCGGCCATAGCTATCCGGTGAAGAGTGAAAGGGGTCGTCTGTGGCGGCACGGTCAGGCGAGGAGGCGAAGGAGGCAGAGTCGTTGTATAGAGAGAGCGAGTCGGAGTCATCATCGTTGTATTTCCCAGAAGGTTCCCCTGTGGGGTAGCCATCGGCAAACTGCTGCATAAGGTGTTTCGCGCGGTCCTGAAGAGTAGAGAGGGGGGAAAAGGAAGGGAAAGGGGAAAAGGTGGAGGAAGGGGAGGGACAAGGTGGTCAGGGTTAGCAGCAGCACTGGCGCGGTCAGGCGAGGAGGTGAAGGAGGCAGAATTGTTGGAGAGAGAGAGGGAGTCGGAATCGTCATCATTGTACCGGCCAGCAGCAGCAAAGGAAGGTTCCCCCGTGGGGTAGCCGTCCGCAAACTGCTGCCTGAGGTGTTTGGCGCGGTCCTGAGGGGTGGAGAGGGCAGACATGGAAGGGGTGGGGGAAGCGGAAGGGGAAGGGGAGGGGAAGGGACGGACAAGCGAGGGGGTTGGTCATTATCAGCAGCACCACTGACTCAGATGGGCGGAGAGTGGAAGGAGGCACTACCTTTGTCCACTGCTAGTTGAAGGAGTTGGAGCGAAGGGGGTTGGTTCTAAGTGGTAGCAGCACTGCTGCGGCCAAGTGAGGAGGTGAGGGAGGCAGGCAGGCACAGTCGCTGTTCAGGGTGAGGCTTACATACCAGGTCTCACATCCCAATGCGCGGGGAAGGGAAGAAGCAGCCTCACCTGGGAGCGCGGGCTGCAGCTGTCACTGAGGAAGAGCACAGAGGCACAGCCGGCAATGGCCTAGTTGCATGAGATGGGTTGCTTAGGGGCGCAAGGAAGCAATACCCTGGTTCCTGTGAGAGGCCAGGGCCTCAATAAGTCGCCGCCTCAATAAGTGCACCTTGGAGCCACGGCATTTTTACCATGTGAGAAAATGCCGTGTGCCCTAGTCACGAGGAGACTTCTGAGTCCACTCAAAAGTCACCTTGGAGCACAGCCTTACCATGTGAGAATCAGGAGAAGCCGAACCTGGGAGCGTGGGCTGCGGTTGTTGTTGAGGGAGAGGGCCGAGTCCTTGCCGCCCACCATGGCCTTGTTTTCATGAGATGGCTTGCCTTGCTGCACCAGCTTGGGTCATGTGTGAGACCAGGGCACAGACGCAGGCACGAGTAACTGAGAGCGCGGGGCAGAAGCTGGCGTACCTGGGAGCGTGGGCTGCGGTTGTTGTTGAGGGAGAGGGCCGAGTCCTTGCCGCCCGCCATGGCCTTGTTGTGGCGCAGCTCAAAGCGCAGACACGCGTTCACCCACCGCAGGTACACCACCTCCTCCACCTCGCTGAACCGGCTGTTCTGTAGACCCTCGACCTGGGGTGGGGGGTGGGGGAGGAGGAGATGGCATGCGGTTGGCAGGTTAGAGGCATGCATGCATGCACAAGACTGCGTTCACCCACTCACTGCAGGTACACCACCTCCTCCACCTCGCTGAACCGGCTGTTTTGTAAGCCTTCAGCCTGGGTATTGGGAGGGGAGACGACAGTTGGGCAGGGGCGTATGCTTATGGTATGAATTGGCAGGTTGAGAGTATAGGTGCGTTCACCCACCCACTGCAGGTACACCACCTTTTGAGACGTCTAAAAGTACACCACCTCCTCCACCTCGCTAAACCGGCTGTTCTGCAAGCCCTCCACCTATGGTGTGGGAGGAGTTAAGGGGAAAGGGGGACAGCTCGGCTCGGCAGGTTAGGGGCATGCACATGACTGCACCTTGCTGAACCTGCTGTTCTGTAGACTTTCGACCTGGGGTGATGTGGTGGTGTGGGTGGTGGTGTGGGTGGTGGTGTGGGTGGTGGTGTGGGTGGTGGTGTGGGTGATGGTGTGGGTGGTGGTGTGGGTGATGGTGATGGCAATTCGAGGCGTGAGAGCTCTGCTGTGATGGGGATGGGTAGAATGATGGAAGCGGACAAGCTCAGCAGGGAGATGTGGCATGACTAAGATGATTACGAGGCACATCACATCACATCACATCACATCACATCACATCACATCACATCACATCACATCACATCACATCACATCACATCACATCACATCACATCACAGGCATCAGAACAATCAGGATGATACAGAGGTGTGCTGCTGTGTCCCGCCTGCATATTCGACGGGAGCAACTCAGCCATATGCAGGTGCATATGTTTCAGCAGGCCTGCTGAGAGTCGATTTTTGAGTCGACTCAAAAATCGTGCTGCTGTGTCCCGCCTGCATATTCGACGGGAGCAACTCAGCCATATGCAGGTGCATATGTTTCAGCAGGCCTGCTGAGAGTCGATTTTTGAGTCGACTCAAAAATCGTGCTGCTGTGTCCTGCCTGCATATTCGACGGGAGCAACTCAGCCATATGCAGGTGCATATGTTTCAGCAGGCCTGCTGAGAGTCGATTTTTGAGTCGACTCAAAAATCGTGCTGCTGTGTCCCGCCTGCATATTCGACGGGAGCAACTCAGCCATATGCAGGTGCATATGTTTCAGCAGGCCTGCTGACTGCTGAGAGGAAGCACCTGTTCAGAAGGCACTCTCTGCCGCAGCAGAGAGAGGTAGCGGTGTAAATTTCTACACCCGATTTTATGGCAGAGAGGAGATGCGGAAGTGCGACCCACCCACCTGTCTTAGCAGGTCTGCCACTCGCTGCCGCAGCAGCATGGCTTCCATCTGTGCTTTCTTCAGCTGCTGGCTCTGCAGCACAGCCCGGCAGTGGGGGAGGCGTGAGAACGAGAACAAGAGAGGGAAGGGGGAGAGTGATTGAGTGGGTCAGTCAGTGCTGGAATCACATAGCGTCCATTCCATCTGCGCCTTCTTCAGCTGCTGGCTCTGCAGCACAGGACGACGGGGGGAGGAGTGAGAACAAACACGAGAGAGGGAGGCGGAAGAGTGAGTGAGTGAGTGAGTGAGTGACTGGGTGAGCTAGAGCTGCAGCCACGTAGATTCCATTCCATCTGTGCCTTCTTCAGCTGCTAGCTCTGCAGCACAAGGTGACAGGGGCAGGGGTGACAGCACAGGATGACAAGGGAGAGACAGCAGCAAAAGAGAAAGGGCATTAGCTGCTGCAGCTATTCACATTCCATTGGGTTCAATTCCCAAAGTCCCATAAACTGATGGGGTCAAAACAGCCCCCACCTCAGAGCGCTAACCTCGGGCACTATGAGGCGGTTCATGTGCGTGTATGCCTCTCATACCGGATCGGCTCACCTAACACACTCTCTTAAGATAGTTACCACAGGCCCATAGAAAAGGGTTACCTTGGGCGCTATGAATCGATCCATGTGCGCCTGGGCCTCGGCCAGCTGCACGCCCAACTTCCTCCTCTGCAGCTGCAACCATGGCTGGCCACTCGATGCATGCACCATCCAAGAGAAGAGATAGTTTTCCCACCTTTGAGAATTCTCAAAAGTAAAATATCCCCCCACCTCCCCAGTTACCAACCTCCGGAGCTATGAGTCGATCCATGTGCGCCTGCGCCTCTGCGAGCTGCACGCTCATCTTCCTCCTCTGCAGCTGCAGCTCGTTGTTCATTCGCCGAGCCTCCACCAGCTCCACCTCCACCTTCTCCTGCGCCTGCAAGGGGGAGAAGGAGTGCACACGAATAAGAGGGATTCAGAGAGCATCAGCTTAGCCGTATACCTTCCCTGCAATCCGATCGATACAGCAACTGCATGCCCGATACCCCAACCCCCTTCTCCCTTCCAGCTCAGGTGAGGTGGAGGCACCTCACCAGAGCTTCCTTTGAATCAGCCGCATGCCTTGCGCTCTTATTTCCTCCTCCCCCGCACCCCCCACCACCCACATTATGCAGTGCCGCCTGCACCTCCTTGTGCGTCGCCAGGGCCAGAGCTTCCTTTGCATTAGCCATATGCGGTATACCTTCCCTTCCCTGTAGGGCCTGTACAACAATTGTTCCTCACAACTGCACGGTCCGTGCCCAGTACCCAATAAACCCCTTCCGCTCTCCCCACCCCTCTTCCAGCCCACCTTGCGCAGCGCCTCCACCTCCTTGTGCTTCGCCAGGGCCAGAGCTTCCTTGGCGTTCACCTCCTCCTCGCGGGCTTTAAGTGACGCCACCACCTGTGTGATTGGGAGGGAAGAAGACACAATGGACCACTTGAAGCCAGAGCCTCCTTGGCGTTCACCTCCTCCTCGCGGGCTTTAAGAGACGCCACCACACCACCTGGGCGGATGGGGATAGGTGAAAGAAGAGGGCGGAGGTGGAAGCGAGCGGAGGAAAGGCATGAACAGTTGGAATAAGCCAGAGATTGCGCCGGTCTCTGCTAAGTCTATGGCAAGCCGATGCCAAGTCCATGTTAGGTTTCTAATGCAGGGCCCCCTCATATTCGAAGCTGCATCTTTAGAGTTGACAGCACTTGCAGCAGGCATATAGCAACCCACCAGGCGCACCGCAAACCACCAGTCGATTACCAACCCAGCAGCATCCATCCATCCCTACCTGCTTGAGTGCAGTGATCTCTGATGAAGAACCCGAGCCTATCCGCAGCTGCTTCTGCAGCTCCCTCTCTCGCGCCCGCAGCTCGTTCAGCTGTTGCGTTGGGGGAGTGGAGGGCACGGGGTGGAAGGGGAAACAGAGAGAGGAGTTAAGGGGGGACGTGAGACGTCTCAAAGGACGTGAGGGAATGGGGAAAGCGGGGATAAATGTCCATTTATGCAGGGATGAATGAGAAGGATAGAACAGACTTGAGGGCGAAAGCCAGGCGTCTTAAAACTTGTGGGGGAGTGGAGGTGGAGTGGAGGTAATGGGGACAGGAGAAGAGAAAATAGCTCCATTCGTGCCTCCTCACTCCTTTCTCATCGCACGAACGGACAGAGGCACCAATGGAGCGAAAATAGCGGGGCTCTCTTCCTCACCTCCCTCCCATACCCATTTCACCCCTTCTCCTCACCTCCTCCTTGATCTTATCCATTTCCTGCACATCCTGCGCCCACGGCTGCTTATGAAACACACTCTCCGCCATGCCCTTGCCTTTGGGCACTAGACTCCTGTGCAATCCCTTGCCTCAACACACAACAACCCCCAGCCCACCCTCACTACTTCCCCTCCTCACCTCCTTCCCCTATTCTTACCCATCTCCTGCACGTCCAGCGCCCACTGCTGCTTCTGACACACGCTCTCCACCACGCCGTTGCCTCCAGCCACTCAATCTCCTGTTCAGTCCCTTGACCCCATACACGAGAGCCCTCAACCCTTCCATGGTTTTTCCCCCTCACCTCCTCCTTGATCTTATCCATTTCCTGCACGTCCAGCGCCCACTGCTGCTTCTGACACACGCTCTCCACCACGCCGTTGCCTCCAGCCACTCAATCTCCTGTTCAGTCCCTTGACCCCATACACGAGAACCCTCAACCCTTCCATGGTTTTTCCTCCTCACCTCCTCCTTGATCTTATCCATCTCCTGCATGTCCAGCGCCCACTGCTGCTTTTGAAACACGCTCTCCGCCATGCCCTTGCCTCCAGGCACCCGAACACCAGCTCACTCTCATGCCCCCACCCACCAGAACCCCCAACCCACCACCATCGCTCCCCCTCCTCACTCCCTTCTCACCGCATCGACTCACCTCCTTGTTCTTATCCATCTCCTGCATGTCCAGCACACACTGCTGCTTCTGAAATACGCTCGCCCTTGCATCCAGGCACCCAGGCTCCTGCTAAGTCCCTTGTTTCAACCCCACCCACCCTCGCATCCCCTCTTGCACCTCAGTCCCCTACCCTCAACCCCACCTTACTACCCCTCCTCACCTCCTTCTTGATCTTATCCATCTCCTGCATGTCCAGCGCCCACTGCTGCTTCTGAAACACGCTCTCCGCCATGCCCTTGCGCAGCCTCACCACCTCCGCCCGCTCCCTCTCCACCTCCCGCCGCTGCCTCTCCACCTCCTCGCCCCCATACCGCAGCTGCCGCAGCTCCTGTGGAGGGGAGGGACAGACAGGGAACAGACGGGGAGAAAAAGGCGGGCATGGGAGCAGCAAAGAGGCAGGCACGATCAGGGGGAGATGGCAATAGGCGCTTCTAGAAGCATCAGGAGGCCTAAAATGCACCACCTCTGCTCGCTCCCTCTCCACCTCCCTGCGCTCCCTCTCCACCTCCTCGCCCCAATACTGTAGCAGCCTCAGCTCCTGTAAAGGGGGAAACCGAGAGGACAACACACAGCCTGGCATGAGTGCAGCAAAGAGGAGGGCTTAATTAAAGAGACCGAAATGCACCACCTCCGCCTGCTCCCTCTCCACCTCCTCGCCCCCATACCGCAGCTGCCAGAGCTCCTGGTGTGGAAAGACACGACAGGTGGGCAGGCAGGCACGATAAGAGAATGACAGTTTGAGAGTTGTGAGAAGATTCTTGGTTTGACTCTAGAAGCACTGGAACGCCTAGATTGGTACCACCCCTACCCGATCCCTCTTCACCTCCCTCCGATCCCTCTCCACCTCCCTGCGCTGCCTCTCCACCTCCTCGCTCCCATACCTCAGCTGCCGCAGCTCCTGGTGTTGGGGGAAAAGCTAAAGTGGGCGACACACGGGCGGGCACGAGGCCGGCACGACTAAGGGGAGATGGCTTGAGGCGCCTCTACATGCACCCACCCACCCACCTACCTACCCACCTACCCACCTACCCTACCTGCACTTGGTCATGAGCTTCTCGTGCCGCTTTCTCCCTCTCCTGCACCTCCGTCTGCACCCTTAGTGACAACAACACACCCTCACACACCCCAATACCCTCACAGCCCCTCACACCCAATACATTCACACACCCCAATAACCCTCACAGCCCCTCACACCCAATACCTTCACGCACCCCAATACCCTCACAGCCCCTCACACCCAATACCTTCACACACCCCAATACCCTCACAGCCCCTCACACCCAATACCTTCACACACCCCAATACCTCACACAGCCCAACACCCCCACAGCCCCATACACGCGCCCACCTGCGGTTTGGTCATGAGCTGCTTGTGCTCCTGCCTCCCTCTCCTGCACCTGCTGTCCAGCACACCCTCACACACCCTTCACACACCTGCAAATTCCCACTAAACCTACTACTCCCCCCCACACACCCCCACATTCATACACTTCCTACCTGCAATTCCGCCATGAGCTGTTCCTGCTGCTGCCGCATCGCCTCCGCGCTGCACTGCAGCTCCCACATCCCCAGGGCTCTAGGTTATACTCTCACACACCTGCAAACCCCTGTACACCGTGCCACACGACCCCACCCCACCTGCAGTTCCGCCATGAGCTGTTCCTGCTGCTGCCGCATCTCCTCCGCGCTGCACTGCAGCTCCCACACCTCCCGCTGGTGCTCCTCCGCGCGCACCCGCTGCTGCTCCTCCAGCGCCTCCCGCTCCTGCACCTCCTGCTGCACTCTCCTCACAGACAGACAATAACCCACCCTTACACGCCCTTACACACCCTCACCCTCTTGCATCCGCGCACACTCCCTTAACGCCTAACACCCACCCTAATACACCCTGCACCTCCTGCTGCACTCTCCTCACAGACAGACAATAACCCACCCTTACACGCCCTTACACACCCTCACCCTCTTGCATCCGTGCACACTCCCTTAACGCCTAACACCCTCCCTAATACACCCTGCACCTCCTGCTGCACTCTCCTCACAGACAGACACTAACCCCCCTCACACCTACCTGCAGTTCCGCCATGAGCTGTTCCTGCTGCTGCCGCATCTCCTCCGCGCTGCACTGCAGCTCCCACACCTCCCGTTGATGCTCCTCCGCGCGCACCCGCTGCTGCTCCTCCAGCGCCTCCCGCTCCTGCACCTCCTGCTGCACCCGCGCCTCCACCTCCGCCACCTCCGCCATCACGCGCTCATGCACCTCCCTCTCGACCCTCGCCCTCACCCCCTCTATCTCCCTCGCGTGCGCCTCCTTCAGAGCTTTCTCCTGGGCGGCTAGCAGCTCACGCACTCGCTCCTCCTCCCGCGCTCGCTCCTCCCGCGCGCGCTCCTCTCTCACCCGCTCGTCTAGGTCACCAAGCCCGTTGGGTAGCGCAGCAACGGCCGACGGACCAAAGCTCAAGGCTGAAGGGGAGTCGCCAGGGAGCACGTTCCGGACAGCTGCTTTCCGGCCGTCGAGAACGAGTTTCGACTCAAAGTCAGACCACACGTCCGGCACGTCCTTGTCTGAAAAGAACTCGTCTCCCGATGCAGCGCCCGGCTCGTCTCCCCATCCAGCGCCCCCCTTGTCTCCTTCCAGTGAATCCACAGCCAGTCCACCAAACACGCCATTTTCAACACCCCCACCGCCTGCACTGATATCCCCACCGCCAGCCCCGTCGCCCAGACCACCAGAGGCAGCAGTAGCACCAGGAACCCCAGTGCCCTTGGGTATGCTCCCACCATCCCCTTCTCCTCCTCCTCCTGCTGCTGCTACCTTCCCATCTGCCAACAGCTCAATTCCATCTTCCCCGTCCTCCCCTTCCTCTTGCCCCTGCTTGTCCTTACCCTTTCCCTTCCCCTTCCCTTTCCCCTTCCCCTTCCCTTTCTCCTTGACTTCCTTCTCCTTCTCCTTATCCTTCTCCTCTTTTTCCTTCTTCTTCTTCCTCTTCTCCTTCCGGTCATTCTTCCTGTCCTTCCGTCCCCTCTCGCCCTCCTCCTCCTCCCCTCTCCCTTCACTTGTCACTACATCCCCCCCAGAGCCCCCGTAATAGTCCCTTCCATCTACAGTCACATCTGGGACACCAGCAGCACCACCACCACCAGCAGCAGCAATACCACCAGACGCCCGCGCACGCCCCTCCTTGTGCTTGTTCCCGGACCTTCCCCCTCCCCTTCCCTCTCCTCCTGCTCCACCCCCCGTTTGAGCCACCCCCGTGATCCCATGCCCTTCCCCGCCTCCCTGACCAAACGTCGCGCCAACTCTCCCGTGTGACAATAACGAGCGGTCCCTCTCCTCCCCCACACTCTCCACGTCATTCAGCTCTGGCACTGGCCGCCCCCCATGCTGCCCTTGCGTCGCCGCCTGGCACATGCAGCACGGGGGGAAGATACGGAGGTAAGACATGGAGGCGGGAGAATGTAGAGGGAGGAGGAGGAGGGGGAGGCGCGAAAGAGAGGGAGGAGGAGAAGAGGGAGGAAGAGGAAAGGAGGACTTGCGTGGGGTGTTTGTGTTTGGCAGCACATGGGTGAGACGGGCGCGATGAACGGAATAGGCACGATGCAGTCGAGCAAGTCACGGGCGTGCATTGGTTTTACTCACATCCTCGTTTTACTCACATCTTGTTCACGCTGCGACCGTTGCTGCCGCCTTCGCCGCCGCCGTCGTTCCTCTTCCTGCCCTGAAACCGGGATAGACGAGAACGAAAGGAAGCCCGAATCAAACTGTGGTCTTCCGGGTCGGCGATTCAGGAAAGGAGCAGTTCTCCGAACCGGATTGATCTGGGGGATTTCGTAACTCTGTAACAGTGCAATTCGTGTATGCATTGCTAGTCGGGCTGAACACCCCAGAACATAACTTTTTAAGAGCATGAGAGTGCGAGTGTAAGTCGACTGACGCGCAACCGTAATGCGAGCGAGAGATGCTCTCAGGAAGACTGGGATTCCAATGTACGTGGACGATCGGCTGTCGTTGCTTAACTCGCTGACACGCGGAATGGTAACCAGATACGATAACCAGACACGCTATACGTATACCATAACCAAACACGGCAACAGGCATGTAACCACATGTAACCAGACACGACAACAGGCACCGTAACCAAACCGGTGACCAGAGACAGTATCCGCAGACATTAACAGACACAGTTACCATATACGACAGCCAGACACGGCATCGGCACCGTAACCAGAATGGATAACTGGTAACAGGAAAGGAAACCAGACACGGTGAACAGGTACGGTAACCATGTATGGTAACCAGATACGGAAACCAGACACCTGGGTACGCGTGCGCGACGCGTTTGATCTTTACAAGAACTCCTGGGTGTATCTTACTCTGGTTGTGGCCGGCTCCAAGAACTTGCTTCGCAACGACGGCGGCTGCCACTGCTGCTACAACGAATTTGAGAGCTCCGTCCATCGCGGATGGCTTTCGCCTAATAATCTGTCATTGCGAATGTGACAGGGGGAGGCTTTCGGCAGGAGCCTTACAGAAGAAATCGACTCAAAGGATGATAGGAGGAGGAGCCATGATCGGGAATGGGGACAGCCGGTGCGATAATGCACCACCGTATCCTCGCATTAGACTCAGCAGAGAGCTACGCAGCGTTAAAATGGAGAGCCAGAGAACTTCGTTTGGTACTCGCAGGGCGACGTGACGTATGCTGAAGTGAAATTCAACGAGGAATCTCTGCGTTAGATGCGTAACCTACACCTACAGCACGCGACACGGAGACATCGATGTGTAGGATTCCCAGAAATATGCTGTCTTTTAAACTATGAGCTACAGCTAAGCGACACCACACAGCAGACGGGGCTGCTGCTCAGATCAAGCTGCTTGCACAAGCACTAGGCTCCATGAAACCAACAAGCCGCTTGCATGAGTACAAGGCTCCATCAAACCAACAAGCTGCTCTGCTGACTGTCTCTCTCTACTAGAAAAATACTGACTCATCGTGTCGGAGGAACAAGAAACTCCACTCCACCGTTCTAGAACGAAGACGAACCGTTCTGGCGCGCAAAACATCGCATCAAATCGCACAGCCCCTCACTCTGGTCTAAGGAGCCACATATGCAAAGAAATCAAACCAAGTTGAGCCAGACCAAGGCAGGCTTGTGTTGGTTTGGAGAAGCCCACACCCGCTGATCAAGCGACGCCCCTCAACCAAGCCTGTTCTGTCACACGAACCTTCTTTCCGAACCCGTCCTGTCCTTGTTTGGCGGGAACATCAGGTTGACAAGGCTTGGCCAATGAGAAGAGCCCAAGAGATTGTCCTGCAACGCCAAGCCGCATCCATCCCTTAACGTTCTGTGTTTGTGAGCTGACCGTCCTAAGTTCCGTGTTTATGGATTTCGGATATGATCACCCCGAAGGAATCGAAATTTCCTTTCGGTCCTGACCTTCCCACACCACATTAATAATACCAAGGCTGACCATCCCGAATATAAGAAAAATATTCATTCACAGCACAGCATCCCTGCCGTTGAACAGCCACGTCAGCGGCACAGCTTTGTGACGACGAGCATCACACATTGCACAAGCAAACCTTCTACATTAAGAACACTCGTTATCCACCAGACAAAGAGCCTAAGAGCTAGCTAACACAACAAAAAAACACATTACGGATAATAAGTCAGTTACAATGCGGGGCCCAAATCATGACTAATCTGCTATGTCATCTTGAAGCTCCTCATTCAGTGTCTCATCCTGAAATGTATACAAGAAAAAAAAAAAGTAGATGGCCATTCATGGATTTGTTCCAAGGTTCGACAGAAAGCACCAAGTGCGTGTGGAGAAACATAAATACTTATGTACACTGATGGTTACCATTCATATTGCTCCTTCCTCTCACCTCTTCTGTTCTCTTGGACACAAGACGCTTTTTCTTTGCAGGCTTTGGCGCCTCTTCGTGCTTCTCATCATCATCCTCCGTATCCCCAACACCCTCCACCCTGGATTGCTGCTGAGAAAATGGATGACACGACTTGTTAGTACTCTTTTAAAAAGCACAATCCACGTTACATGTTGATTGCGATTCTCCTTACCATGTTGTATTCTTCTAATTGCGCCTCGTACTCTTGCTTGCGCTCTGCCGCTCGCTTCTTGTACACCTCTTTTTCCTGCAAATTTAGGGAACCAGCTATCGTCAGGGACGCTCTCTCAAGGTAACAGTGGAAAAGCATGCATTTGGGTAGTCAACCGAAAATAAGCGTTCAAGTGAACAACACCTAGGGAACATACCTAGACCTTTGAACTCACCTCGTCAGTCATGCTCTGCCACTTGGCCCCAGCGGCTTTGCTCATCTGCACGTTTCGGACAACAAAAATGCACACGATAAACGGCATCACAATTAGTAAAACGTGCGGAAATACTGCAAGTACTATGACAAACTCTCATGACTATGGTTGCCGCTGAAGAGTACCGCACCTCTGTGATCTTGTTGTCGGGATGCTCTTCCTTGTACTCCTTCCGATAATCTTCTCTGCAAATTACAGACCCACATGATCACAGACCACGTCAACAATCCAATCTCGTAAGTATTCAATCGTGGCAAGATTCACAGGAGGAAGTATCAGGCCCAAGCTGAACCAAAGTGCACAGAATGGTGCACAAAAACACGACTATCAGGCGAAAATGGTGGGGCGTACAGGAACAGGAAGTATGCGGTTGCTGGTTTCTTGGAAGCGTTGGGGTCCTTTTCAGCTTTCCGTTTCTGCTGCTTCTCCTCCTTGGTCTGCTTGGACTTCTGCTGCTTCTCCTCAGCTTTCTGCTTCCTGTAAGGCAAAATAAGGTATGTTGCTTGAGGCCGCAGATACTTAAACAGAGACGCGATGATGTTCAAGCTGACTCGCTGTACTCAGCACGAAAGCAAGGTGAAACTGATGGGCGGCGGCAGGATTATCGCAATGATGTGACTTACTTAGCAGCGGCTTCCTCTGCCATACGCTCTTGAAACTCCAACCGCAAACGCTCTGCCACGCATATGACAGATGACACCCGAAAGCAAGACACGCATGCGTGAGCACTAGCGTCTGAATAGGCTGCAGTGACAGACCAAAGTGGTCCTGGAAAAATACACCAACTGAAAAGGGCGGTTTCTGGAACGAATCGAATCTCATCAGCGTCTGAACATTGCTCTGTGACTGACCAAAATGAGGACATTTAGAATGAGGAGGTAGAGAATGAGCCTGGTTGGGACCACTCACCAAGGTTGGCTTTGAACGCAGCGTCGTTCTCGCACGAGTGCATATCCGCCGTGGCAACCGGCACCTTGGAGCCGCATGCCTCGCTGCCAGACAGGAGTTCCCAAACGACAGCAAACAAAATCGCAAATCCATTATCTTGTTATTAACAGATGCTGTTACGTGAGTATAAATGTCGTTTCAAGTCATTTCGGGCTTTACCATGTGAGAAACGCGCTGCCATCGGGAGCTCGGCGCATGATTGTCGGCTCCACGCTCTTCACGCGCTTCTTAGGTCCAGGTCTGGCCATGGCGCCGCTCGCCTAAAGGTTACAGCCTACTAAAGAACGCTTTTCAATGCAGTGAGAAGCTGAACGAGTCAGTAACTGTTGTAGAAATTATGGAGAAGCGCGTCTCCGCCGTCAAGCTAGAGAAAACAGAGGATAAACGCAAGCCCACGGTAATACCACGATGGCTCTCTAAGGAACTCTAATACGAGGGTTTTGCTACGGGGAAGGCGAGGTGATCGGGGGGTAATGAAGCTTCATGGGAATGGCTTATGAAAATTTGAAGAGAACTAGGCAAAGCACCACCGAGCAGCTTTGCGCATGCAGCACCGTCACCTTGCCAGCATGGGGATAGAAGTTGGCGGGCCGATGTGACCAGTATGGCCACCCTTTCAATTTTTAACAATACACCTAGAAATTGCACACTTCATCATATGCCATCTCTCCGACGTGCATTTCTACGGAAAATAAGTCAGAACGGTGAATGGGTTTGTAAACTACGCTGTTTGTTTTAAGAAAATGTGACGCCTAAACACCCCACGACGACGAAAAATCCCTTCCAATGCACCCAAAATCACAGAAAGGTTAGGGTAGCCCAGAAAAGTGAAACCAAGCATGTGTTTGCGCTTCGCAACTCCCCAGCAGGGAAGATTTGAATTCGAATGTTCAAGTTCACATTCGAAATTCGGCGAATATTACCGCGTCCGCTTTACAGGGCTCGAAATGGCTTGCACCTTGGAAGTACACTCTACAATACCTGCACTAAAATCGAAAACCAAATGACTCCATTGTTTATTCATTCATTTGGCTAACTATTAGGCCAAATACACCTAAGGTGCACAATAGGATCCATAGCAAGCTATTGTTGGTCCATATCTAGCATAAGCTTGTCCATCTCTCCAGCACTGCCAATTCTAGCAGCAAGCCCAACCGCAGCAGGACTATTCCCACTGCTGGACCCCTGCACTGTCCCTTGCAAGGGGACCATCTCTGAAACCCTACCTCCGGACAACGGAGACCCCTTTATTGTCACACTGCCTAAGACAGGCGTTCCTACACCCTCCTTTCTTAGGTCCGGCGACCCCCCTGCCGAAGGCGGAGGCGGGAGTGGTGGCGGAGTGGCGGTTGGCATCAGCTTCGGCGTGCCCAGGTTCGGATTCCGGGACGTGATCGGCGTAGGGTCATCGCCATCGCCAGGATCGGCCGAAGCTCCATACGGCCTCATCCCCCCTCTAGAAGGCGGCGAAGCCATCCCCATTTTCTCCATCGCCTCCCGTAGAATCCCCACCTCTGCCATCTGCCCCTGCTGCACCCGCTCCCGCTCCCGCTCCTGCTGCTCCTGCTGCTGTTTCAACTGTTGGTGGTGATGCGGCTGCTGCTCCAAATCTTCTTCCATTTCCAAAAACCCTCCACCCGGAGCACTGGACGACGAAAGCGTAAACCCCAGCGGGGCAGACGTGGGATCGTTCGCTTCGGTCGAATCAACCGCCGACGACATATCAGCCGCTGCAGAAAACGCCGCTGCCAGCCTCGCAGCTAAAGACGTCCCACCAGCCAAAGCCACACCCACCGTGCTTCCCAGCACCCCAGCGCCCTCAGTGCCCCCAGAACCACTGTCCTTCCCACCATTGACCAGTTTCCCATCAACCTGATCAACGGTTGAGATGAGCTGTGCGCCAGAGAGGAAAGAATCGGAAGAGTCAGTGCCAGCACCCTCAGAGGCGGCAGCTGTGGTGGGGCCAGCAGGACGGTCGGAGATGGAGAGGGCCTCGAGGTCCGTGAAGTGGTGTGGCTGGCTGCTGCCACTGGCAGAGCGCCGACATGACTCCATCTCCCTCCCTGGCATATAGAGGTTTGGGGTGGGGGCGGGGAGGGGAGGGGGTTGGGGGAGGGTTGGGGAGGGACGGGTGAGCTTTGAGGTCGATGAGCTGCGCGCCAAAGAGAAAAGAATCGGCAGAGTCAGTGCTAGCGCCATGAGAGGCGGCAGCTGTGGTGGGGCTGGGAGGACGGTCGGAGGTGGACAGTGCCTCGAGGTCCGTGAAGTGGTGTGGCTGGCTGCTGCCGCTGGCAGAGCGCCGACATGACTCCATCTCTCTGCGTGGTAGCGGAGGGGAAAAGGAAGGGAGGAAGGGGTTGGTTGGTAAGGGATGGGGAAAGAGTGGTGCCGCTGGCTGCTGCCACTGGCCGAGCGCCGACACGACTCCATCTCCCTCCCTGGCAGACAGGTGTGGTTGGGGAGGGGGGGGTAGGGGTTGGGATAACAAATGCATTGATGAGGTGCGTAGAAGAAAGGCGACTGAAGGGAGAAGTTCCAACGGAGGATCTGAATGTTCGTGTGCTATACTGGTCTCACCTGTTTTGGGACGTGATATAAGTGAGTCTTTGAGACGTCTTAAAAACTCGCTTATCCAAGTGATAAGCTGGTCTCACCTGTTTTGGGACGTCTCAAAAATGATAGAGACAACTCCCCATCTGAGTGAACAAGAACTCACCTGACGGCACGAAAACACACCCGAGGGAACAAGAACTAACCTGAAGGCAAAGAAACACACCTGAGGGGACGAAGACACACCTGAACGCAAAGAAACACACCTGAGGGGACGAAGACACACCTGAAGGCAAAGAAACACACCTGAGGGGACGAAGACACACCTGAACGCAAAGAAACACACCTGAGGGGACGAAGACACACCTGAAGGCAAAGAAACACACCTGAGGGGACGAAGACACACCTGAAGGCAAAGAAACACACCTGAGGGGACGAACGTGCGAGTGCGGTAGTGGTGTGTCTCCCCCGTGCCGTCGCTGTAGAGCACATAGTCGTGGTACGTGGGGGCGAACTGCATGGTGGATAGGATGCAGGGAAGAAGGAAAGGTAAAAAAATTAATAATAAAAGAAACCTATCAACTCATGTCTTAATCTCTCCCACTCTTTCCCTCACCTAGTGAACAGAATATTCTCATTGACCTGGTGAATAGTGTCCCTGGCAACATTGGTGAGGTTGACCAAGTCAACTTGGTCAACCCTGTAAGGAGCTGCTTGAGGATTACTCTGTCTGACAAAGTCTGTATTTTGAGGCGCCTCAAAACTTGGTCAACCCTGTAAGGAGCTGCTTGAGGTCACCTGTGTCTGACAAAGTCTAAGTGAAGTGGTGATGAACATTGTCGCTGACAAGGTCTGTAAGGTTGATTGCATGCCTGGTGGATCTTAGCCGCAACTGGTAACCAGGTTACATGATTATCAACTGCCTCACCTGGTAACTAGCCTACCTGGTGAACTGGTTACTGTGTCGCTGGCAACGTCTGTTGAGGCGCCTCAAAACTTTTGAGGCGACTTTTGAGGCGCCTCAAAAGTCATGATGATCAACTGCCTCACCTGGAATCTAGCCTACCTGGTGAACTATGTCGCTGGCAACGTCTGTAAGGTTACGCGCATGCTTGATGGATCGCAACAGCCTGGTAACCATGTTAACAGCCTGGTAACCATGTTAACAGCCTGGTAACCATGTTAACAGCCTGGTAACCATGTAAACAGCCTGGTAACCATGTAAACAGCCTGGTAACCATGTTAACAGCCTGGTGACCATATAAACAGCCTGGTAACCATGTTAACAGCCTGGTAACCATGTAAACAGCCTGGTAACCATGTAAACAGCCTGGTAACCATGTAAACAGCCTGGTAACCATGTAAACAGCCTGGTAACCATGTTACATGACACAGAACTGCCCCACCTGGTGAACGGTGTCGCTGACAACGTCTGTGAGGTTGATGGCATGCTTAATCAACCGCAGCAGCCCTGCCTGCCCGCCGTTCATGGCCACATTGCCTGCAGAAACGGCTTGAAGGGGAAGGCGTGCATGAAGCCTACCTGGTAACCACCTCCCACCTGGTGAACAGTGCTCTCCCACCCACCTGGTGAACGGTGTCGCTGACAACATCAGTCAGGTTGATGGCATGCTTGATGGATCGCAACAGCCCCGCCTGCTCGCCGTTCATGGCCACATTGGCCTGCAGAAACGGCTTGAAGGGGAAGGCGTGCATGAAGCCCAGCGCCCCCAGCACCATCTCCGCGCAGATGAGCACGTTCTGCAGATCTGCTGCGTCCTCTGCGCTGTGTACATAACCTAGTTGGGCCACTATGAACACCAGCACGCCCTGAACGAAGGGAGAGTGAGGGGAGAGACGGGAGGAAGGTGTGAGTGTTGGCTGCCTCAAGAGGAAGGTGTTGGCTGCCTCAAGAGGAAGGTGTTGGCTGCCTCAAGAGGAAGGTGTTGGCTGCCTCAAGAGGAAGGTGTTGGCTGCCTCAAGAGGAAGGTGTTGGCTGCCTCAAGAGGGACAGACAGTGGGGAGAGAAGGAGGCCACAAGCCAAAGAAGGCTTGAAGAGGAAGGCGTGCATGAAACCGAGCGCCCCCAGCACCATCTCCGCGCAGATGAGCACGTTCTGTAGGTCTGCTGCGTCCTCAGCACTGCTGACGTAGCCCATCTGCGCCACTATGAACACCAGCACTCCCTGAAGGAAATCGAGGCACCCGGGGAGAAGGGAGGGGAGGGAGGTGTGCGCGTTGTGTCGCATCACAGTGTTTTCTCCCTCAAGGGGGACGGACAGAGGGTGGGGGAGGGAGGGATGCAAGAGAAGCGAGGTAGAAAATGCTTGAAGCGAGGTAGAAGGCGTGCAGCCCAGCACCACCTCCGCACAGATGAGCACGTTCTGTAGATCAGCCGCGTCCTCTGCGCTATGTACATAGCCCATTTGGGCCACTATGAAGACGAGGACACCCTGGTAGGGACGGGAGGCACCGAGACCAGTGTTATCGGTGTGGGACCAAAGAGAGGAGAGGGAGGTGTGAGTGTTGCGTCCATTGTTTTCTCCCTCAAGGGGGACAGAGGGCAGGGAAGGGGAGGCAGCGAGGCAGGGAGGGGTTGAAGGGGAAGGCGTGCATGAAGCCGAGCGCCCCCAGCACCATCCCTGCGCAGATGAGGGCGTTCTGGAGGTATGCTGCATCCTCTGCACATTGTATACATAACCAAGCTGAGCCACTATGAACACCAGCACGCCCTGGGGGAAGGGAGACAGGGAACCAGGGGAAGCGAGGCAGAAGCGGCTTGAAGGGGAAGGCGTGAATGAAGCCGAGCGCCCCCAGCACCATCTCCGCGCACATCAACACGTTCTGGAGGTCAGCTGCGTCTTCTGCGCTGCGTACGTAACCTAGTTGGGCCACTATGAACACCAACACGCCCTGAAGGGAATCAAGGCACAGGAAGATAGGGGAAGGGGGGGAGGGAGGTGTGAGGGTTGTGTCGCATCGCAGTAACTTTTGAGAATTCTCAAAAGCAACGCAGTAGTGACTCCCTCTCAAGTCACAGACAGAGGGTAGGAAGGTAACAAGTCCCTCTCAAGTCACAGACGGAAGGTAGGAAGGGAGCAAGGGAATCAAGGCAGGGAGGGAGGGCTTGAAGGGGACGGCATGCATAAAGCCGAGCGCCCCTGATGCAGGTGATGTAGATGTAGCCGTCTGAGAGGGCGAAGTCGATGACTGCTGGGTCTGCCCCGCCCCGCCTATCCCTGGCTACCCACTGCTACCCACTGCTACCCACTGCTACCCACTGCTACCCAGTCTCACCTGCCAGTAGGTGAGAAAGACCACGGCTTTGATCATCAGGAACTTGGGAACCGGATTGAAGGAGCGAAGCAGCTCGCGGCACGCGACGTAGAAGAGAATGAGAGCGTAGATGGCGACAGAATAGGACGCCATGTAGATGCAGGTGATGTAGATGTAGCCGTCTGTCTGAGAGGGCGAAGTTGCCCCCGTTGAGTCTGCCCCAGCTACCCCCGGCTAACCCCACCCCAGCTACCCCCGGCTACCCATTGCTATCCATTGCTACCCATTGCTACCCATTGCTACCCAGTCTCACCTGCCAGTAGGTCAGGAACACCACGGCCTTGATCATCAGGAACTTGGGCACAGGGTTGAACGACCGAAGCAGTTCCCGGCACGCGACGTAGAAGAGGATAAGGGCGTAAATCGCGACGGAATATGAGGCCATGTAGATGCAGGTGATGTAGATGTAGCCGTCTGAGAGAGCAAAGTTGCCGTCTTCATAGAGCCCGTAGTAGTAAAGGCACAGGCACGTGGCCGCCAGGATGGGCTTTAAGTACACGAACTGCAGACAGCCCTGCTTGCACCTCCGGATGAAGCGCCTGGTTAGGAGAAAGGTGGAGTTGTAGGGAGAAGGGGGGGGGGGGGGAGGGGGCGGGAGAGGGGGAGGGGGAACGGGTGGCGGAGGGGGAGTGGGAATGGGTGGCGGAGGGGGAGGGGGATGGGAAGGGAAAGCGGCGTGGAGAAGGGGTGAGGTGAGAGGCTGCAGGCACACCAAGTACAAACAGCCCTGAGAGGAGCAGCACACTCAGATATCTCACCAGCACTCACCCATCGAGGGGAATGGGCGGAAAACAGCAAGTGATGGGCAGGTAGGAGGGTTGGAGGTTACTAAGAGTCGTAGTAAGAGGAATGGGCGTATACCCACCCGTCCAAGGGAATGGGCGTATACCCACCCGTCCAAGGGAATGGGCGTATACCCACCCGTCCAAGGGAATGGGCGTATACCCACCCGTCCAAGGGAATGGGCGTATACCCACCCGTCCAAGGGAATGGGCGTATACCCACCCGTCCAAGGGAATGGGCGGGAAGCAGCAGGTCATGAGCAGGTAGGACGGCTTGAGAAGGCGCCCTGTGAGACTCGTCAGTGTTGATCTGCCTCATCTGTACACACATTCTTGGCACTGACCCGCCCCATACCTGTCTCTTCCCTGTCTCAACTCAGCATCACCACTCACCCGTCAAGAGGGATGGGCGGGAAGCAGCAGGTCATGAGCAGGTAGGACGGCTTGAGCAGCCGCCCTGTGAGACTCGTCACGACGGCGCCCGGTCCCCCCACCCATGAGAGGCAGAGCGAGAGGAAGTTGTAGATCACCCAGGCCTCGTAGCTGTTGAGAGGAAGGGGGGGAGAGAGGGGGAGATGAGGGTAGAGAGGGGGAGGCATTGAAATTGTGAGGGGAAGGATTGAAATAAAAATGTCATCACGGCGCCCGGCCCGCCCGCCCATGAGAGGCAGAGCGAGAGGAAGTTGTATATCACCCACGCCTCGTAGCTTAAATGGAGATTCGACGGGGAGGGGGGAGGGAAGGGGAGGGGGGAGGGAAGGGGAGGGGGGAGGGAAGGGGAGGGGGGAGGGAAGGGGAGGGGGGAGGGAAGGGGAGGGGGGAGGGAAGGGGAGGGGGGGGGGGGGGGGGGAGGGGGGGAGGGGGGGAGGGAAGGGGGGGGGAGGGAAGGGGAGGGGGGAGGGAAGGGGAGGGGGGAGGGAAGGGGAGGGGGGAGGGAAGGGGAGGGGGGAGGGAAGGGGAGGGGGGAGGGAAGGGGAGGGGGGGGGAGGGAAGGGGAGGGGGGAGGGAAGGGGAGGGGGGAGGGAAGGGGAGGGGGGAGGGAAGGGGAGGGGGGAGGGAAGGGGAGGGGGGAGGGAAGGGGAGGGGGGAGGGAAGGGGAGGGGGGAGGGAAGGGGAGGGGGGAGGGAAGGGGAGGGGGGAGGGAAGGGGAGGGGGGAGGGAAGGGGAGGGGGGAGGGAAGGGGAGGGGGGAGGGAAGGGGAGGGGGGAGGGAAGGGGAGGGGGGAGGGAAGGGGAGGGGGGAGGGAAGGGGAGGGGGAGGGAAGGGGAGGGGGGAGGGAAGGGGAGGGGGGAGGGAAGGGGAGGGGGGAGGGAAGGGGAGGGGGGAGGGAAGGGGAGGGGGGAGGGAGGGGGGGGGTACAAGGAGAGTGGAATTCAGGGTTAATGGCCACAACGGCGCCCGGCCCGCCCACTGACGATAGGCAGAGGGAAAGGAAGTTGTAAATCACCCACGCCACGTAGCTGTGAAGGGGGGAGGGGGGGAATAGGGGAGAGAGAAAGGAGGGGGTGAACACAGGTCCCCCCACCCAGGAGGTCCCAAACCGAGAGAAAGTTGTAGATCACCGGTGGGAGAGTGGGGGGGTAGATCATTCAGGCCTCGTAGCTGAATACGAGGCCTGGGCGATCTATGAGGCCGGTTGTAGCTGAATAGGGCGAGTGGGGGGGCCGGTGAGAGAGGCTAGTCGAGAAGGGTGCCATTAGAATAGAATACTATTTATAGAACACTCTCGGTGGCAACACAGGTTCAACTAACGCTAAACTGCAGGCTGACAACCATATCCACTCACCTTGCATTTGACTTGAAAGCACTCTTTGAATCTATCCATGGCAACACATCGCGGACGGGAGCCTTCACTTCACGCTGCAAGTCACATAATGAACACCCCCTTCGTCACGTGCTTATGCACACCATATGGCGCAGTGCACACGCAGGGCACACGCAGGACACACGCAGACCACACTTACACACCGTACAGGCACCATACTTACACGTCGCGTATCGTGTTGAAGTACATGGCGTAGTCGCTCATAACGAGAGCGCCGAACGACATTGTCGCGTACACCTGGCGCAAGAAAACAAACAACCCAGAAATCACCCCAAAAGTTTAATGATTTCCCAAATGCCCCGAGATTTGGAATATTCGGCGTAGCTAAAACCGCATGGGTTACAAAACCCGACAAGGTCAACCAGGGTTAGCTTATGGTCGACAAGATGGAGTGTGAAAACGCCGTAGCGCGAGCGTACGTACGGGGACCATGAAGATGATCCGGACTATGTAACGCTGGTACGTGGGCTCCGTGTAGTTGCGGAGGTGCATGACGATGTGGCGTACGGAGAGAAACACGGCGAGCACCGTGCATACTAGCGACACCACCACCGCCGCCGTGCCTGAAAACGCGTGCTCCGGAGGCGGCGACGGCACCCACGCGCTCAAGTCGATTCCGAACATCTTGGAGCGCGGAGATCACAGAGACGTAATTTTTGTGGCTGGATCAGGGACAATAGGGACAAGGGATCACGAGTCCATCGGGTGGCGTCCGGCACTAGATTTGAGGTGGTTAGGTGATAAGAGCCCTCGTTTGAGAACCAGGAATCCGGTAGTGCGCAGATTACAACGTATCTACAGCCACGGATTGATGGCTGCGGAGTGCCGTCAACCCATTCCGCGCGAGCCGCGCAATTAGCAAAAAAGATCCGTCGTATGAAAGCCCTAACCACGGAAACGCGGTTTGCGAACGCCTAGAACAATCTATAGAACAAATTATACAGCGGCACTAAACTAATAACTAGAGAAAGAAGAGCGCTGCGGCGACTGCCAAAGGTTAGGGACTAATGCAATATTGGAACCAATAATACCTAGCGACGGGCTGCTACTAGGATCCAACAAAAATGGCGGGCGTGGGGGGGGAGAAAGTTGGGGAGGAGGATCTGATGCTTTCGCGACGTCCGGTTACCGCTTGCGAAAACTTCGTCACGCTCGACGAACTCCAGTTCACAAGGCACATCTCGAGGTGAAAGGCTGTGAGGCGACAGGGTATTGGCGGGAAAATACCACGTGGGTACAGCCGTGTGACAGAAGCGAGCGAGTCAGGTGAGACATCTCAGAAATATGTCAACAGAATGCGACGCTTAGGCTCGTTTCCTCTTGCTTTCGGTATGCTCATACAGCACATTACAGATCCAGTAATCCTACCGAACAGAACGACAGAGCAGCTTTTGTCAAGGAATTAAGAAATAGGGCGAGGAAACTCGGGAACGGCCCGAGTTGTCAAAAATTGATCTTCCACCGCGTTAAAGCCCAATTCTAGAATGGCTACTCTTCAAGTTCAAGATTCTTGAACTAGAATTCGCCAAGGAACCAGGTAACCCGGTTTGGAACACCGTTCTTTCGCAGCACCCAAAGGAGTGTTTGAAGCGCTTGATTTTGATTGGATGAAACTACAACAGCCACAACAGTCACAGCCATTGCCAGAAAAACACAAAACTGGAACTACTGTTCATACTTTCCGAAACTTGAAGCAAGAGAATACCTTTCTAGACTCGATGGTAGTGGGCTCCATAGCCCTCAGAATCAGTCTTTCACCAGTCACTCGACTTAGTATACGGTCAATGGAAGCATTACTCACGCCCTTCACTCCTGAAGGCTCGTAATCTTGGCGTGCCCCTGCTGTTCGCACATAATGTTAGCGCAAACGTCCACAAGGTGGCTAAATCTCGGCTTCCTAAGACATCGCCCGCTCGCACTCGTTTAGGATTCGAGCAGACAACATGCGGGTACCTTTCACACACACGCTCCCCGTCACTCGCAATATTGTAATTCCATCCGTCTAGGTGGCTCTCGTCGCTCCACGCCCTCCCAGTTCTTGCCCAAAACTCCCCCCGCGATGTTCGCATCTCAATTAACATTTCTAGCTGTTAATTAGGACGCGGTAAAAGTGCAAATATCGCAGGCTTGCCTTCAAATACCGAGCCCCACAATCGATTGAGCAGATCGATTGGCGAAACGCGGCGATCGCGACATTGTAACGATCGCCACTGAGAATTGACATATCTCCCGCGATCAGTGATCAGTCGCATTCACGCACTGTACAAAAAAAATTGCCAAAAAACGTACTGTAGCATGGTTACAGCCTGGCTAATTGGGTAACCGATCTGCACATCGATCGCGACTGACGATCGATCGTCTACTTTCACCGCGTCCTTCAACCACGCAAAAATTCGATCCTACGTAGGATCGATCCTGCGATCGGCGTTCAGGAGACGCGTCCTAAACATGATCTGAAACCCTAGACATGATCTGAAGCAATACCACAGTTGTCGAAAAATGAACGACATTCGCAGTAGCATCAATATGGCTGCGCTTTCTGTCAAGGTACGCTACACGCTATCGGCCCTTAGGGCGCGTAACCATTTTGCATTTTTTAATTTTGACGTACCGTCCGATTATAGGGAATCGGACGGTACGTTTATAACGAAACGGACTACATGATTTGAAATTTTGCAACTTCGGACTGTCCGAAAGCAGATATGACACTTTTTCCTCGTCCTAGGGTTTCGCGATGGTTTTCCCTTCGCCATCTCAAATGTACACAAGTAACGCCAGTCACAACCCATCGCAATTTTCGCTAGTGGAGTTCTGCACTTCGGACAAAGGAAATGTCAAACAAGCTCAAACAAGCCAAGCCCTATCAATGTCGGGTGACTCTTGAGTCTCGGGAACAGCAGTGGCAGGAGTGGTCGTATTGGTAAAGCCCGGTGGCGGGGCGTTGGTAGTGGTGTTGTCAGAGTGGGTGATCTCGGGATCCATTGTGCAGTGAACGCAGTAGTGTCTAGTTGTGGGTCAATGTCGTGGCTTCTTCTATTGGAGGTTGGCTAGTTGTGATTGGTCAATGTCGATGTATGCCACCAAGTTGCATTTTCCCTTGTTTTGGCGAGGCGGTCCGATGAAATTCAATAACGCGCGCCAATCGCGTGCGCGGAATGGCGGACAGTACGTTTGAGATTTGGACGGTATGATGTGGGAGTTTCGAAACAATGGAGAGGGGAAAAAGTATCATGACAGTTCGTACTTTTGGCGACGTCGCCAACGTCCTCGCGAATTCCCTAACGACATTGCGCGAAAATGGTAGCCTATCGCCACGACGTACGGTCCACGGTTCGTTCCGTCGGGTGCAAAATGGTTACGCGCCCTTAGCAAAACTGGGGTCATCTACACAATGGTTGTGTTTTACTCCTGATCATACTTTGGTTCCACTAGTCGAGGGTTCCAGACTGTGATCGATTCAGGGCGCGTAACCATTTTGCATTTTGTACCGTCCGCTTGTTCGAGTCGGACGGTCCGTTACGTCGAACCGGACTGTCCGATTTGATTTTTTTTCATCTTCGGACTGTCCGAAGGCTGTCATGACACTTTTCATCAGTCTAGGGTTTTGCGATTGTTTTTCCTTCGCCAGCTCAAATGTACACCCGTAACTCTAGTCACACCCCCTCGCGATTTTCGCCAGGGACATTCTGTGCCTCTGACGTACTGTAGGTGGTGTACGTTTGATTGGTCAATGTCAATGTTTACGACCGACTCGCACATTTCTATGTTTTGGCGAGGCAGCCTTGCAAAAATCAATATCGCGCGCCAATCGCATGTGCGGACTGGCGGACAGTCCGTTTGTGTTTCGGACGGTCCGAGGTCAGAGTTTCGGTACGTTGGAAACGGGAAAAAGTGTCATGACAGTCCGAATATTTGGCGACGTCGCCAACGTTCTCGCGAACACCCTAACGTGGTTGTGCGAAAACCGCTACCCGTCGCCATGACGGACGGTCCACGGTTCGAACCGTCGGGTGCAAAATGGTTACGCGCCCTTAGCATACTTCGTTAGATTGAGCCTGAAACAATCTCACGTCCCTGGGTCCGACTGGATCGGACTCGACCACTCAGTTACCACGAGACGGGTCTCGCATTGCACTGAAAGACTTGTTTTTCGTCTGCTGGTTCGCAATGGGGGAGCAAGCGACGGTTCCGCGTCGCATCACGCACGTCATCTTCGATATGGACGGCCTCATTCTCGGTGAGCTGAACCGTTGTTGCGGCTCATAACGGCTCCCAACGGCGATAAAGGCTCATACCATGAGCCTTGCGTCGCATCACGCTCGTCATCTTCGATATGGACAGCCTCATTCCCGGTGCGTTAACCGTGTCGGCGAATTGAAGCGTGAGGTTTCCAGGAAACTCATAACGCTGCTTCGACGTGGAAACAACTCCCTCCCAGTCAGCTCGAGGCTTCCTGTCCCCATGCCCCCCTGTCCCTATCATTTTCGTGTACAGACACCGAAGGTCTGTACACGCTCCAGCAGCACCGCAATCGCGCTTCCTGACCCCCTTTCCCGCCATCACTCCCTTTCTCCCCCACCAACACCTCCCCTCTTCCCCCAGGCACCGAGGTTCTGTATTCGGCACCCCAGAAGCGCGATCGCGCCCCCTGTCCCCCCTCTCCCCCCATCACTCCCCCTTTCCTCCATCATTCCCCTTCTCCCCTTCCACCCCCTCCCCTCTTCCCCCAGGCACCGAGGTTCTGTATCAGGCACCCAGCAGCGCGATCGTGTCCCCCGTCCCCTCTCCCCCTTTCCCTCCCTTCTCCCCCTCCCCAAACCCCCCAGACACAGTGGGTCTGTACACGGTAGCCCAGCAGCGCATTCTTTCGCGATTCAACCGCGTGTTCACGTGGGCGCTCAAGGTCAAGATGATGGGCAGGAAGGCCGCAGAGGCTCCTCTTTTCCTCCCTTGATCCAACCACACTGCCAAACTCGCTCTCCTCTACTCCCCCCTGCCCCCCCTCCTCCCTCTGTGCCCCTGACCCCTGACCCTCTTCTCCCCCCTCCCTGCCCCTGTTCCCCTGTCTCCCTATCCCCCTATCTCTTCCCCCAGACACGGAGGGTCTGTACACGGTAGCCAGCAGCGCATTCTCTCGCGGTTCAACCGCCAGTTCATGTGGGCGCTCAAGGTCAAGATGATGGGCAAGAAGGCCGCAGAGGCGGCTCCATTCCCCATCACACCACTGTCAGACTCGCTCCTTTTCCCTCCCCCTGGTCTGGTCCCTCTCCCCCCTGCCTCGCTTCTTCTCCCCTTCCCTGTCCCCCTCTCCCCTTGTTCCTCGGTCTCCCTGACCCTCCCCCAGACACGGAGGGTCTGTACACGGTAGCCCAGCAGCGCATTCTCTCGCGGTTCAACCGCGAGTTCACGTGGGCGCTCAAGGTCAAGATGATGGGCAAGAAGGCCGCAGAGGCGGCTCCATTCCCCATCACACCACTGTCAGACTCGCTCCTTTTCCCTCCCCCTGGTCTGGTCCCTCTCCCCCCTGCCTCGCTTCTTCTCCCCTTCCCTGTCCCCCTCTCCCCTTGTTCCTCGGTCTCCCTGACCCTCCCCCAGACACGGAGGGTCTGTACACGGTAGCCCAGCAGCGCATTCTCTCGCGGTTCAACCGCGAGTTCACGTGGGCGCTCAAGGTCAAGATGATGGGCAAGAAGGCCGCAGAGGCGGCTCCATTCCCCATCACACCACTGTCAGACTCGCTCCTTTTCCCTCCCCCTGGTCTGGTCCCTCTCCCCCCTGCCTCGCTTCTTCTCCCCTTCCCTGTCCCCCTCTCCCCTTGTTCCTCGGTCTCCCTGACCCTCCCCCAGACACGGAGGGTCTGTACACGGTAGCCCAGCAGCGCATTCTCTCGCGGTTCAACCGCGAGTTCACGTGGGCGCTCAAGGTCAAGATGATGGGCAAGAAGGCCGCAGAGGCGGCAAAGGTGGTGATAGAGGAGCTGGGGCTGCAGGGGGAGATGAGCGCCGAGGAGTTTTTAAAGGAGAGAGAGGCGCTGCTGAGGGAGGAGTTTCCCCACTGCAAGCTGTTACCAGGTGAGGGATTGCGGTTTGGGGCGGCTGGAAACGGTCCAGGGTGGTTGAGAGTGGTTGAAACGGTTCAGAAGGCTGCGGAGGCGGCAAAGGTGGTGATAGAGGAGCTGGGGCTGCAGGGGGAGTTAGCGCCGAGGAGTTTTTAAAGGAGAGGGAGAATCTTCTGAGGGAGGAGTTTCCCCACTGCAAGCTGTTATCAGGTAAGGGAGTGCGGTTCAAAGCGGCTTGCAGCTGTTGAGAGCGGTGTAGAGCGGTCGAGAGTGGTTGAGAGCAGCTGAGAGCAGTTTAGGTGGCGCGTGGTAATAGAGGAGCTGGGGCTGCAGGGGGAGATGAGCGCGGAGGAGTTTCTGAGGGAGAGAGAGAATCTTCTGAGGGAGGAGGAGTTTCCTCACTGCTATCAGGTAGGGAGAAGGGTTGAGAGCGACGGTAAGCGGTTGAGAGCGGTTGAGAGTGTTTGAGGGCGGTTTAGGCGGTGCAGGTGGTTGTAGAGTAGCTGGGTCTGCAGGGGGAGATGAGCCCATAGGAGTTTCTGAGAGAGAGAGGCGCTGCTGAGGGAGGAGTTCCCCCACTGCAAGCTGCTACCAGGTAGTGAGAAGGGTTTGAAGCGGTTGAGAGCGATCGAGAGCGGTTGGGAGTGCTCGAGGTGGCGCAGATGGTGAGGAGCTGGGTCTGCAGGGGGGGATGAGTGCGGAGGAGTTTCTGAGTGAGATAGAGGTGATTTTTCCCCCATTGTAAGCTACTGCCAGGTGTAGAGTGCAGTTAGGTATGGTTGAGAGCGGTGGAGGGCAGGTGGAGGCAGTGCAGGTGGTGGTGGAGGAGCTGGGTTTGGAGGGGGAGATGAGCGCAGAGGAGTTGAACAGGTCGTTTCCAAAGCATGACTTTTCTCGTCTTAGAGTTTCGGCATATCACCCCTTCCTTCCTTCTCAATCCCATTGCTTCCCTCAACTCAACCTCGTCTCTTCCTCATCTCTTTCTCATCTCTTCCTCATTTCGCACTCACCTCATTTCGCACTCACCTCATCCCTCCCATCTTGCAATCAGGGGCGGAGCGGTTGATTCAGCATCTGCATGCACACAACATTCCCATGGCCATTGGCACAGGGTGAGTGAGTGGATGGGTGGGTGTGTGGGTGAGTGGGTGTGTGAGTGAGTGAGTGAGTGAGTGAGTGAGTGAGTAAGTGAGTGCATGCACACAACATTCCCATGGCCATTGGCGCCGGGTGAGTGAGTGTTTTTTTATGCGCCCCAACATTTCCATGGGTGAGTGAGTGAGTGACGCGAGTGAGCGAATGAGTGAGTTGGTGAGTGGGTGAGCGAGTGAGCGAGTGAGTGAGTGAGTGGATGCGTGAATTAGTGAGTGAGTGAGTGAGTGATTGGGTGGTTTTCACATGTCACTCACCTTCCTGATTCCTCCTCTGACCATCCACTTCCCTTCCTGCTGTTGTCCCAACCAGCTCCCACAAGATCCACTTCGGTCTCAAGACAGCCAACCACATGGCCCTCCTTGCCCTCATGCACCACTGTGTGCTCGGGGATGGTCCCGAGGTTGCACACGTGCATGTGTGTCTCGTCTTCTTCTTCTTCCCCTCTTTCCCACCCTCTCTCCCACCACCAGCTCCCACAAGACTTTTGAGGGTTTTGTTTTTTTTGCCACCACCAGCTCCAAGTCTTTCCCACCCTTCTCCCACCACCAGCTCCCACAATATTCGCTTCAGTCTCAAAACGGCCATTTACGGGGAGCTATTCACCAACATGCACCACTGTGTGCTCGGGGACGATCCCGAGTTTCCCATGTACCTCTTTCCCCTCCTTGCATCTTCCCCCCCAACCCCTATCACATCCAGGTCCCACGAGATCCATTTCGGCCTCAAAACGTGCAACCACGGGGAGCTGTTCGCCCTCATGCGCCACTGTGTGCTGGGGGATGATCCCGAGGTTGTGCACGTGTCTCTATCCCCCCTCTCTCCCACCACCAGGTCGAACAAGGTCCACTTTGGCCTCAAGACGGCAAACCACGTGGAGCTCTTCGCCCTCATGCGCCACTGTGTGCTCGGGGATGATCCCGATGTTCCCTTGTGCCCTTTCCCTTCCCCTCCTGCCACTGACCCCATAGGTCTCACAAGATCCACTTTGGCCTCAAGACAGCCAATCACGGGGAGCTCTTCGCCCTCATGCGCCACTGTGTGCTCGGGGATGATCCCGAGGTTGTGCATGGCAAGCCAGCTCCGGACGTCTTCAGAGTGGCGGCAGCCAGGTTTGACGTGAGTGAATCATTGCATCTTATTGTGCTCCAGATGCTGTGTGCTCGAAGATCATCCCGAGGTTGTGCAGAGCAAGCCCGCTTAGGGTCTTGGAACCACACAGCCCTGTTTGCCATGGATTAGACATCCGGACCTCTCTCCTGCCCTCCCTACCTTCATCTCTCCATGTCACCAAACAACGGTGAAGCAAAAAAAAAAAAAAAAAAAAAAAAAAAACTAAAACTAAACAATCAGCTGAACTTGTTGCCCCCATCAACCCCAGTCTGCACTCCCTGACCTTCTCCAACCCTGTCCCCCCCTCCTCTCTCTGCCTCCCTCCATCCCTCTCTGACCCTCTCAACCTCTCTCTACCGCTGCCTCTTTTGCATCGATCTCCCATCAACTCCCACCATCGCTCCCCACTTGTTCTCATCAGCCCCCACCGTCACCAGACAGCGTGCTTGTGTTCGAGGATGCTCCACTGTGCTTTGTTGCCCCTGACCAACCATTTCCACCCCTCTCTACCCCTTTCTACCAATGCCTACCCATCTCCATCTGTTCTCTCATCAGCCCTCACCGTCACCAGACAACGTGCTTGTGTTCGAGGATGCTCCACTTGGTGTGGATGCTGCCAGGAATGCTGGAATGTGAGTGTACCTTAACCTATCACGTTTTGTACACTTTATTTCTATTTGTCTGGATAATTTCTTACTGGGGCTCAGGGCCTCAGATTCATTTTTAGGGACCCTGGGCCCTCAGGGCATGACTCAAAATTGTGTGTCCTCCTCAGGGCAGAGCCCCTAGGGGGACCCTGATTTCTCAGGGCATTCCAGACCTTAACCCTGAAACTTCAGGGCATTTTTTTGCATGCAGTATTTTTTTGTTTGTAATTAAAACACAGTACTTGCTACACTATGTTCGCCTGGTGGATTACTACTACTACGAGGTAGCTAGGTGCCACCAACATGCACTGCACTGGCTTGAGAGGGGTGGGGTGATGGGAGTTGGCAGACGCCTTGGGCAATGCTAGTGTCAGAATGTGTAGTTTGTCTAGCCTGCAGTGGGGTACTTTATAGCGAGTACAGCCCCTTAGGGTTTCCTATGTGTATCCACCTGCTTGCTAGTTCAATCCCTTCTTCTTGCAACAATTTCCTCGACTCCCTTTGGCCTAGGCTACTAAGCCTAGGCCCTACTCTTTCTATTTAACAGCTAGCGCACAGAGGCAACACGCGGGAACTTGACTAACAATGTGCTACGATTGGTCAACTAGGGATGTGCAGTAGCAGACGTTTGAGTTCGTGCATATGGTAAAGTGTTAGTGGTGGGTGTGAAGGGGGTACTGTAACTGGCAGTCACGCCTGCCGCATCGCTGTATGTTGCCCCATGCGGGCCATTTTGTTGTCAATGTGAGTGCTGGCGGGCGACTCGCGTGTTTTCGGCACCAACTCTCGAAAATCAAGGACTGACCCCCTAGGCGCTGGGGCTGCTTTCAAAGGGGGTTGGGTGTGTGTGTGATGCCAGAGTTGGGGTTTCATCTGTTCCTGCTTGCACCTTTTCCTCCTTTGTTTGTCCTTTCTGTTTGTAGGTGGGTGGTGATGGTGCCAGATGCTAATGTGGACCCTTCTCTCTGCACTAACGCCTCGCTTGTTCTTCCATCATTGTTAAACTTTGATCCTGCTCTGTGGGGCTTGCCTCCATTTCCAGCAGAAGTGTCTGAAACCTAGGAAGAAACAACATTATATAGTGTAACGGGTTTTTTTATTGAAATCAAATGTGGCTCTTATCATTATCACAGTCACTAATTTGCATCTAGAGATTCTTAATGTCGAGCTTATAACAAGCGTTATGCCCGCGAAAAACTCCCCCGAGGTCAAATAACCGTGAGACACGGACACGATGGAGGATGTGACCATTGCCATGAAATCGTGGGCGGGTTCCACTTCATTCGTGGCAGACGGCTGATCGACTGGTGTGTGGATGCATTCAGCTCGCAAAGCATTGCATCCATCCAACATTCAGGTCGCGAGACCGTATCTGAAGTAGGATAGGACTCGAAATTGGTCTAGGTGCATCGAGACTAATCTACTCACCTTTCGACAGGGTCTGCGCTGGAACTGCATCTACGTGACTGCGCGCCGGCTAGAGGCCAGATTTCCTCCCCCCCCCCACCCCTATGCGCGCAAGGTAGAGCCTTACGGTTCAGCGAGCGATTCCTCACGACGCCATTATGTGAGAGATAGCTGGTAACATTGTTGAAAGTACGGTTCACCATGGATAGCTTTGTGATCAATTGTGATATATTATTTAACAAAAAATAACATATCCACCAAAATTACATCCCACGGCAAGGATACCGAAAAATAGGGACTCTTCACAAGGCCCTGCTGCGACACTTAGAGTCGCTACGCCATCCAAGCCCGCGGGGTAAAAGATGGTCATAAAATAGGAATTTACAGGGTAAGCTCCTTCTTGATTCCGTCCACAACCACGTAGGCGAGAGACGGCGTGATGTACTCAACGGTGTTCTCCAGCTTGAATTCCGTGCCAACGGGCTGCAGAATGTCAAGAATCACGATTCGGGGAATTGTTATCATTTACGAAAAGTAAATGGAGAAGGAAACACAAGGTAGAGAGTGGGGGATGAGCTATACATGTACCGAACCCAACCAAAGGAAGCGAAACGATATGAAAATTAACAATGTTTTGGCCAATCCCGTGAACTGCTCGTTCCGCAATTCCCCATCTTACGTTGTTGCCGGAGTGGATCTGCACGCCGGTGATTACGGCGTAATCCGCCTTCTTGCTGTCAACGGCCACGCTGATGAGATGCTCCAGGGTGCTGTTGATGACGTCAACAGCCGCCTTGGTAACCGCAACGATGTTCGGCTCGGGGTTCACCGCGATGAGCTTCTTCGTCAGGTTGTGCACCTCGAGATCATCCTCCGACGCCTCGGGAAGCTCCTTGCTCGCGCTGAACTGCGCGGTCAGCGCGAGAAGCGCGCCGCACGCACCGGAAGCCGCGGAGCGGCCTTCGCGGCGCATCTTACCGATGGCGCCGGTCTCATCGACACCGATGTGGGTCAGACCGAAGAAGACATCTGGGTAGTATTACAGAGAGTGGAGAAAGAGGAATAGGACAGTGAGAAGTGAACGGTGAGTAAGCGAGAAGCTGGAAACCTGAATGCGTGAGAGGTTCAGCGGGAGGGAGAAGTGCACTAGCTAGCGGAGGGCCGCTGAAGGATCAAACTTCGGAGCTAACATCCCGTTCCATCGCTACCCGTTCCAGAATAGGATGGACCAAGACCACGCGGCGTCATCACACGTGTATATACAGTCGCATCTCTTGCATCACTCGTCGCGACATGAACAGATTTGTCATGCAAAGCCACCCGCATACTGGTAATTTCACTTACATCGCTCCTTGCCGTTCTCGTCCTGCGGACTGTGCGACGCGCCGGCCTTGATCGCAAGCGCACCACCGGGCGGCACTCCTGCGAGGCCGTTGAGCGCGAAGGTGAGACCGAAGTGCTTGTCAATGGTGGCGTCGAGCAGACGTGACGCCTCGTCACGGCACGTGCTCACGAGCGCGATGCTGTTCTCCTTGGTGAAACCGTGCTCCTTGAGCTTGTCGGCGACGGATGCGATGTAACCTGTCTCCTCCACGGAGCCGGGGAAGTTCGCCTGGATAGACTCCACGGCGGCGGGAGTAGCCTGCAAAAGGAGGAAAATTCCCGCGCATACAATTAATATTATTGCTGTAGCTGGTGCTGACATTGGGAAGTGATCCAGATCGTGCTAGTTCTGAGGCAAAAGGGCAGCTCCTTCGAGGATATCCACGTCAGCAGGCTCACCTCCTTGGCGAAGACGGTGGTAGCCATAGATCGAAGTCGAACTGAAATACAAGAATATGCTCAGATTCACCGAATTATAACTCGCCCGTGCGAAATTGGGAAGTCTGAATTTGAAGGGACTGATGTGACCTGAATGAATTGAAGAGAGTTGAGATAAGCGTAATCGTTGCTGACATTTGTACCGAAGAATGCGCTGCGACGAAAATGAAGTCATTATATCTCTCCCGTTCATCTCGTCTAATAGTCAAGTTTGAAGTCGAGGTTCAGGGCCGATGTGGGCCTGCCACTTGGCGAGCCGCGTATCCAGAGTTAAACTCCACGTCACAAGCGTCAGCAGGTGCTGATAGGGCGCTAGAAAATTGCCACGAGAAGTTGATGTGGTGATGTGCGATGAGCATTCCTCTGGAGAGCACCATTGTCCGCCTATCACCCTCAGCCAGCATTTTGGTTCTTCATCATCGAGTCAGGGCAATCTCATCGAAGAGGAGAGTGCCCATCCAAACCAAACCAAAGCACCACCAAACATGTGGTGGTGAGGTGATGTGCGATGAGGCATTCCTCTGTAGAGCTGGGCAGTTACCACTGTCCGCCTATCACCCTCAGCCTGCGTTTTGGATCATCATCATCGAGTCAAGGCAATAGCATCGAAGAGGAGAGCGTCTCTCCATCCAAAGCACCACCGAACTCGATGGCAGAGGTCAGAGATCGCGGAGGAAAAGAAGTTTGAACTCCTGGTGGTGGTTTGCTGGCTAGGTGCAAGAAGTGCGATATTGTAAAGCTCGATTTTTGTCGGCAACACACTCAACTAAGAGCAAAGTGTCGCTCGGCTAAGAGCACCACATGACTTTCCACTTACATATTGTACATAATACAATAAATGCATGCATGGCACAAAAACGCCCAGTAGTACCACCTAGATTCAACCCAATAGCACATTATGGTGTTGGGCGCTTTGGTCATGAGATTCGTGGATTTACTGTTTGTTTTTGGCATTCATATAGCACATTATGGTGTTGGGCGTTTTGGTCATGAGATTCGTGGATTTACAGTTTGTTTTTGGCATTCATATGTATCACACTTCTCCCTCTGTTAGCACATGCTACACCCGTGGATCTCACTTTTAGGCATGTATGTTGCAAACTGATGCAACTGAAAACTGTAACGAAATAGAATACTGAATTGCAAGTTGTTGTTGTTGTTGTTGTTGTTGAACCACATTGGTTTAAAAATATCATACTGTATTATTAAAACCCCGCTATCAAGACAAAACATCAGTAGCAGAAAAGGGCAAGTTGTATGCCTCGACCCAAACCACAGAGCATAGAGTACCAGCCAAGCACTTTTTTGACCCAACTGCCTCGACTAGACAGGTATAGCAGCCCAAATAAGAACCAGACAATTAACAGGCCTGAATGGCCTTAAATTTTCCATTTCCCCACACAATAAAGTCCTTCAAATATAGCATTTTTTCAGACACCATTGGTATTACCGAATTTTCCCCTGAGGCAGTTCGCTGCTGCTTGCCTCTTCTTGCTTCAGGGGAGAATCTAAAGCAGCAGGAGCAGCGACAGAATCAGCAGCAGCCGCAGCAGGAGCAGTAACATCAGCAACAGAAGCAGCAGCAGCCACTCCAGTTTCAGAGGAAGAGGTAACGGCTTCAGAGGAAGAGGGGGAGGAAGGGGAAGATGAGGGTGTAAGAGGCGACGATGACAGGAGCGGAGAGGCCAAGGCTTGCAGAGACGAAGCCAGCCCCCCCTCCGCCTTCTCCCCTGCCTCCCCATCCCTCTTCCCATCCGCTTCCCTCAGGCTCGACACAAGGCGGGAGATTCCCGGAAGCTTCTCCTGCAGCAGCAGCAGCTTCGCCCGCTCGTCCCTCCAAATCCGCGACGACTGCCCACCGACATTCTCTCCTCTCCCGAACCCGAGCCCAAACGCAAACCCGCCCATGCCCATCCCCATGCCTCCACCACCCGACCCTCCTCCCACTCCCCCGTGCATCCCCATGCCTCCGCCTCCTGCGGAATCCTCTTCGGAAGCTTCGAAGGTCTCGGTGGCAGCCGCGGCAGCCATGGCTTGGACCTTCTCCTTCTCGGATCCCGAGGCTGTAGCCATCTGTAGCTTGAGGTTCTCATAACGCACCATCACCTCTTGCCGGCTGTAGTCGGGGGGAGGGGGGGGACGGGGGGGGGGGGGAGGGGAGGGGGAGAAAGAAGAGGAATAAGAAATAGAAGGACGTAGGAACAGGCCGTAGCCCTCTGTAGCTTGAGCCTTGAGATTCTCGTAGCGAACCATCACCTCTTGCCAGCTGTAGCTGGGAAATGGATGTTGGTGGAACAGAAGGGACGGTAGGAAACTTGCATCAGATTGCTTCCTGAATGCCCTTTGGCTGATACAACCATTTACATACTTCCAAAGGTGGGGAGATGGAAGTGTATTATTTAAATGCTCATATATACAGATATGCATACATATACATAGATATTCAAAGATACATATTTCGCAGGCACCTAGTAACAGTTGTTGTGAGTCAAGTCTCAATAAAGGCTCCTCAAAGTGGGTTTGGGAAGTGTAGGAAGAAGAGTTTTGAGACATCTCAAAATACTTATTTCGCAAGCACCTAGAAACAGTTGTTGTGAGTGAAGTCTCATTCAAGGCACCTCAAAGTGGTTCTGGGAGCGTACCGAGAGGAGAAGGCGGAAGGGAAGAAGCCAGGGAAGTAGCGCTGCAGGAAGCCAAAGACAGCCACGTGGCCCACCGGGGTGATGGGCGCGATGAGGATGATGGCGAATGGGATCACCACCAGCAGATCGGTTGCCGTGCGGCGCAGGGTTTGGACCTGGAAGAGGCAGGGGGGGGAGCAAGCAGTGGAGGTGGGATGAGATGGCATGGGAGACAGCCACGTGGCCCACCGGGGTGATGGGCGCGATGAGGATGATAGCTAAGGGAATCACCACGAGCAGATCAGTTGCTGTGCGGCACAGGGTTTGCACCTGAAAAAGGGGGGAACATATAGGAAGGGGGAAGCAGGGGTGATGGGCGCGATGAGGATGATGGCGAAGGGGACTACCACCAACAGATCAGTGGCCGTGGGACGGAGAGTTTGCACCTGGAGGGCGAAAGGAGGGAGGAAGCAAGGGGTGATGGGCGCGATGAGGATGATGGCGAAGGGGATCACCACCAGCTGATCAGTGGCTTTGCGGCGGAGCGTTTGCACCTGAAAACGTGAAGGAGCATATGGGAGGGGGGTGAGCAAGCAGGGGCGGGATGGGATGACAGGGTGATGGGCGCGATGAGGATGATGGCGACAGCGATCACCACGAGCAGATCAGTGGCCTGCGTCGTCGCAGGGTTTGGACCTGGTGGGGAAAGGGTGAAAAGAGAAACGAGGGTTTGGACCTGCAATCCCCCTCCGCCCCTCTCTAAGGTCACAGAGAAGCCACCTCCGGCCAACTCCGGTCTCACCTCTCTAGCCTTGAGTGTGGTGCCGGTAGCAGCGACCCAGAAGAGTCGGGCAGAGTATGCCACGTCGCCAGCCAACAGCCTGACGCCTCGCCAGAAGAAGGACGCGCCCTCGCCCACCTTGCCCTTGGCCTCCTCCATTGTCATCTGGTGCTTACAAACATTTTCTCCTGAGGAGTCTGCTTGTCTGCCTGCCAGTGCCCTGAAGCCGGGCACGCACAGGAAATCCCAGCCCTCACCTCTCTGGCTTTGAGTGTAGTTCCAGTCGCTGCCACCCAGAACAAGCGAGCCGAATACGCCACGTCACCAGCCAAAAGCCTGACGCCCCGCCAGAAGAAGGAGGCGCCCTCGCCCACCTTGCCCTTGGCCTCCTCTACTGTCATCTGCGCGCGCTGCTGCAGCGGCACCGACGGCTCCTCCATTATTCCCAGACGGAACTTGAGGTCTGTGGGGGAGGAGAGGGGGGTTGGGGGAGGGTACGGAGGGGAGAGGAGAAAGGGGAGAGGGGGAGAGGGAAGAGGGAGGGACGGGAGACGGGATGGGAAGGGGGGAATGGTGGGGGGAGAAGGTGTGATGATTCGAGGAGCGGATGAGGGAGAGCGTGGGACTGGTGTGCCCTTGCCCACCTTGCCCTCAAGGAGCAGATGAGGAAAGAGAGCTGCTGCAGCGGCACTGGCGGCTTCTCCATTATGCCCAGACGGAACTTGAGGTCTGTGGGGGGATGGGGGGAGAGGGGGAAGGAGGTGGAGGGGTGGGGAAGGGAGGGAGGAGTAAGGAGGGGAAGCGGTGGGGAAGGGAGGGATGAGGAAGGATGGGGAGGAGTGGGGTGGGGAAGGGAGGGACAACTGCACACGTGAACAGAGCACAAAACAACTGCTACTGCTCTGAGACCAGAGGAAAGAAGGCCTACCGGGAATGTCAATCGCCAGTGCCTCCAGCTCCTCATCCTCGATAAGAATCGCCTCGTTTCTATCCACAGCCGTGCGCAGGCGCGCCAGGTCAGCATCGAGCAGCCCATATTCCGCGACCAACAGAGACTCGTCCTCGTCTGACCGCATGTCCTCTGGTGATGAGGGATGTGAGGTGAGAGGAGGAAAGGGAGGGATAGGGGGGTGGGAATGGTTAACAGCAGGCGCGCCAGATCAGCATCGAGCAGCCCGTATTCCGCCACGAGCAGCGACTCGTCCTCGTCTGACCGCATGTCCTCTGGTGATGTGTGAAGTGGGCGGTTGGAAGGGGTGGAGGTGAGGGGGAGGGGGCGTGGTGGGGGGCAAACAGCAGGCGTGCCAGGTCAGCATCAAGGAGCCCGTACTCAGCCACCAGCAAGGACTCGTCCTCATCTAAGCGCATGTCCTCTGGTAATTGGCGAGGTGGGGGGGGGGGGAAAGGGGGGTTAACAGCAGACGCGCCAGATCTGCATCGAGCAGCCCGTGATACGCCACCAACAGGGACTCGTCCTCATCTAACCGAGGTGACCGAGACGCACCGATGTCCTCTGCTGTGGGATCGGGGTGGTGGGGGAGAGGAGGGAGGTTGGAGGGAGTGGTTGATGAGATGCCGGGAGGTCTGCATCGAGCAGGCTGCACGCCTAGGCAATTGATGTGCCACACGAAAATTGCGTAAGAGCCGTGAGGTGAGACTCTTTGTCCTCTGCCACCTGTGCTCTGGTGAACGGGGGAGGGAAGGGGGGGAGTGTGCGGGAGGAAAGGGGAGGGGGATAGAGAGGGTTTCGGAGGAGAGAGTGGGATGAAGAAGAGCAGTTTCTTAGCAAGCTCTGAGGAGTTGAGATTCAGAGCTAAGTTGGAAAATTAGGCTCAGGAGGGGTGAGCGTATTATGTAGACATGCTACTGTCATCACACAATACGCTTCTCAACACTACGCTTTGCGCACGCAAATCTGTTTAGCGGGCAGACCAAAAAAACTCCCTTGCGGGCAGCTTTCATGATTGTCCGTGTTTTTGCAAAAATCAGCTCATGCATGACCTGCATCTGCAGCTGCAGCTGAGCGTGCTCCTAGGCAATTGTCATGTGAACATGCAGAAGGCCATACTGCACTGGATAACACACGGGAGTCGGCAGCAAAGAGCAGCTCCTGCTCCAGGAACATGTAGATCTTGTCATGCTGCTGTAGATCACCTGCATCTGCAGCTGCAGCTGAGCATGCAGTTGGGCAGCTATGGCCATATGACATGTGAGCATGCAGCTGACTGACCATGCTGCAGGCGTCTCAGGCAGATAACTCACGGGAGTCAGCGGCAAAGAGCAGCTCCTGCTCCAGGAACATGTAGATGACCTGCATCTGCAGCTGCAGCGTTCGCACCGCCAACTCCTTGCGCAGCTCGTTCACCTGCACGGATGGGAGTTACACAGGAGATGAGTGTTGTGGGACAGGATTTATGGGTGCACGGATGCATGCTGTGCCTTGCATCTGCAGCTGCAGTGTGCGCACAGCCAGCACCTTGCACATCTCGTTCACTGCACGTGTGGAGGGGTGGGTTGGAACGGTGGGTGGTTGAGTGGTGGGTGGTATCGTTCTTCTTTTGGAATCATTTGACCACATTCTTCTCACCCTATACTTAAACCATTGCAACAAACTCTTCTCGCCCTGTACTGAAAACTTGTCAGCGAATTTTTCTCGCTTTACACTGGCAATATCTCACCAACTTTTCTCTCCCTATCTTGGAACATATGACCCATTTTTTTTTGGGGGTTTTGTTTTTGTTTTTGTTTTTTTGTGTGTGTTTTTTTTTCCGACTTTATAATTGACTTGATACAATAACTTCTCTCGGCCTATAGTGCAATGAAAGCTTTACGCGCCCTCACGCTCATCTACCTCGCACGCTCTTCCTCCCCTGAAATCCAAATGAGGTGGTCACGCATGATCAGATGAGTGGATAACCTCACCTCGTCATCCAGTGCCTTAGTCACCCAGGCAAGCCTGGACCTCACGAGCAGTGCCTATGTTCCTCTGCCACAGCCGCTGCTGCTGCTGCCTGAATGCACATATACACTCTGCTTTGTGATTACAAAGAAGGGGCCTCACCTCATCATCCAGTGCCTTGATCTCCCGGGCAAGCCTGGCCCTCACGAGCACATTCCTCTGCCGCAGCCGCTGCTCCCTGTTGCGAATGGCCTCGTTCAGCCGCCTGTCAAGGGCCTCCACCTGTCAGGAGAGAGTGGGGAGACAGGACAGAGAGGAGGAAAGGGAGGAGGAAAAAGGGGGTGAATTCGAGCTATCAAATGGCTGCTCCCTGTTGCGAACGGCCTCGTTCAGCCGCCTGTCAAGGGCCTCCACCTGTCAGGAGAGAGTGGGGAGAGGGAAAAGGCGCAGGGGAAGGAGAAGCGAGAGGGAGGAGAGAGAGAGAGAGTCGGAGGAGAGGGATGAGGGGAGGAGAGGTAGAGGGGGGACATGGGGACACGGAGCAGGGCAGCACGGACGCCAGGGGTACCTCAGGAACTCCGTGCTCCTTGAAAACGTACCAGACTGACGTCCCTGGTACGTTTTCGAGAAGCACGGCAGCACGGACGCCAGGGGCAGCACGGACGCCAGGGGCAGCACGGACGCCAGGGGCAGCACGGACGCCAGGGGCAGCACGGACGCCAGGGGCAGTACTGACTCCGTGCTTCTTGAAAACATACCAAGGACGCCAGGGCAACCACGTCGCAACACTAGAACCTCGTACTTCCAGCAGCTGATAGAGCAACCTTTTCACCATTTTGTCTCCCGTCGACAAGGGGCAGGCAAGGCCAGAACAGAAATCAGGGTTTCCAAACTCGTGCTTCTTCAAAACATACCTAGTAACCACATCATAACTCTGGGGTCCTCGTACTTCGAGCAGCAGCTTAAGCTCCTCCTCCTCCTCCGTGTCACCCATTAGCTCGGGCCGGGGCAGCCCGGACGCCAGGGGCTCGAGCTCCGTGTTGGCAGGTGAGTCAAAGACGTACCTGGAAAGTAACCACATCACCATAACATCACAACTCTAGCTCCTCGGACCTCGAGCAGCAGCTTGAGCTTCTTCTCCTCCTCCTTGTCGCCTGTTGACTCAGGACGGGGCAGCCCGGAAGCCAGGGGCTCCAGCTCCGTGGTGGGCGGGCGGCCATTCAGACGCCGCCACGTGTCCACCAACGTGCGCACCGCCTTCCCTCCCGCCTGGAACAAGGCACACATGGGGGAGAGAGGGGGGAAGGTGTGGGAAGGAGGAGAAGAAAAAGAGGAGGTTGAGGAGTCAGACGAGAAGAGAGCCACTTAACCCGGCATAAGTCGTCAGAGTACTAAGTGCCAGTGTGAGCCGGAGTACTAAGTGCCAGTGTGTGCCGTCAGAATACTAAGTGCTGGTGTAAGTCTCCAGACTACTAAGTGCTGGAGTATGCAAGTCATACCAGTAACCCGACCTTGTTCTGTTCCCGCTTACCCCTTTGATGATGGGCAGGTCGATGCTGAAGTCCCCGAATGAGATGTCCACCGATGCAATCCGCTGCCTGACACGGTCCAGAATGGCACTTCATGTTGGGTTTTGAGACCTCCCAAACCGTTCAAAGACTCCCATTTCTATCAAGATGCCTCAAGAGTAGCTCACCCCCTTGATGGTGGGTAGGTCGATGCTGAAGTCCGAGAACGAGATGTCCACAGATGCTATTCTCTGCCGCACCCGGTCCAGAATGGCACTCGTGTTGGACAGCCCGCCCAGGCGCCGCAGCACGCGCTCCTGGTGGGGAAGGCGGGGGAAGGAGGGGGTTGTGCAGAAGGGGGCAGAGGAGGGAGGGCAAGGCGAAGCAAGGGAGGCTAGTAAGGTCTCCAAACTCAAGAACGGTAGTGTTGGACAGCCCGCCCAGGCGCCGCAGCACGCGCTCCTGGTGGGGAAAGCGGGGGGGAAAAAGGGAAGATGGGGAGCAGGGGAGTCGGAAAGGAAAAGGAACGAGATTGGTGTAGTCCCCCTCTCATCAACCCCACCTGCTGGTTTGGACGTGACATTCATTACAACTGCACGCCCCCTTTCAAAATTTGAGACGTTTCAAAAACTTTGAGACGTCTCAAAGGTCGTTACATTCATTACAACTGCACACCCATCTGGGAGTTCACCACCCCGCACCCTAACCTGCTTGGCCTTTCACCACCCCGCACCGTTCACCACCCCTCACCTGCACGTTCGCCTCCTTGTCCATCTGCTCCTGCAGCGTCTGCGCCTCCAGCTCCTCCTCCACCTCGCACTGATTTCCAAGTTCACATCCCACCACCCCTCACCGGCAAGCACCCCCCCTCACCATTCCTCACCGCTCACCACCCCTCACCTGCACGTTCGCCTCCTTGTCCATCTGCTCCTGCAGCGCCTGCGCCTCCAGCTCCTCCTCCACCTCGCGCCGCTGCTCCGCCGTCAGCGACGCCTCGATCCGATCCGCCAGCTCCTCCAGCCGCTGTGCCAGCGTGCGCACCACGTCCGCCACGCCCTCCGCGGCCTTGGTTTCATCCTGTGACAATAACGGGGATGACAGCACGTCAACGACAAAGAGCACTTCAAGAACTAACCCAGACGTCGGACAAGCCGTCGTTACCACGTCGGAAACGCCTTACGCGGCGTTTTTTTGGTGATAACAATGGGGGTCACAAGAAGTTGCAACAGCGTCGTCGCAACAACCACAACGCCCTCAGAAGGTTTGGATACTTTCTGGAACTATAACGGGAGTGAATGACGAGAACGAGAATGGACGAGCCGGAAACACGAGAGTTCACGAAAGGAGAGCGTGCGCAGTGTGGGATGACACACAACATACAAAAAACGAGTAAAGTGATGCCAAGAGCAGGCACACTCCCTTGGTGACCTACCGGGAAAACGGCGGGCAGCTGCCCGTGAAAGAAGTTGAGGTCGCGAGTCAGCGAGCCGGCGAGCGCGCGGACGTCCGCGGCGCAGCCAAGCACCTCGACCGCGCTTTCCACCACTAGAATGGGCTTATCCTCCCCCTCGCCTTTCCCCTCCTGCACGCCCAGGCCACGGCGGATCCAGTAGTTCGCTCCGCGCCGCACCTTACGCCGAGCTTTGAGATCCTGCGTCCCTTCCCGCTTCTTCGCTATAACAGGTATGGGCATGTTGAGCACGCGTTCGGACCGGTTCGCGTCGCGGTAAAGCCGCCGGAGAAGCATGAGGACCTCGAGCCGCTGCAGCCGTTCGTTAACCTCCGCTGCCACGTCAGCGCTGACGAGGCTATCATCGCGAGCCACCTCTGCATCTGACGTGGAAACGTCGGACCGTGACACGGCCTCGGGTTCTGCAACTAAAGCTAGCGCACCGTTCAAGCTCTTCGAATCTGTAACGGCAACGTTACCGGCGCCGTCATTTTCGTTTTCGGCGACGTCTCCGCCAGTGGCTCGCGCATTAGCACGAACAGATCGGCTTCCTTTGCGAGTATCGAGCCAGCCATTATCGGGTACAAACGAAACCACGAGAACGCAGGACAACGGCTCTGCAGAGACGAAGGACGCACGGTCCGGTCTCTCGGCGCTGGAACGCGCAGCGACCGATGACGAGTGTGACACTAACGAAGTGGATTTGCGTGAAAGGGAATTGGTCCGCAGCAGCACTTGCTGCGGTCCTTTTAGAAGCTTAGAGCTTCCCGTGAAAAATCCACCATGAGAGAAACTTGGCGAAGCGTCCCTCGCCAGAGACACGGAACGCGTCAATTGGATCGCCATGGCTACACTGGCGGTTGACGACGTTCGCAAAGCCACAACGTGAACGAGGCCAGAAGGATCGCAATCACTGAACAGGCGCTAAGCAGTCTGCGAGGGTATCGAGATTCGCAGTGGAGCAAGGAGAACTGGTGCCAGAGAAATGCTCAGTCCACAACAGGGCAGGATCAGTTGGGGGAACAAAGATTCCTCAGGAAGCCCAGGATCGACAAGCTCGAGAGATTCTTTTTATGAGGACGGGAAGGGAGCCACACCACACACGCTTTGGTTGACAGAAACGGGAGGAGTCAAGGCGGAACTGAACGGAACGGAACGAGATGGAACGGGATTGTCACGGATGACTGCTCTTGGCCAATCCCGTCTCGCACGCCGCGGTTTTGGGCCAGGGGGCAGGGAGCAAACTTCAAGGGTTGCTGGACTCCCTCCATTGACGAATTTGCTGGTTGGGGTTGGGGCAAGCTAAATTGATTTTTACTGGTTGTGTATCGACGGTTCGAGAATCGGGATTTGGAAGATTATCTTGACACGAGCTGTCCTTATTTCCTTCACAGAAGTGATTGGATTGGAAGGAAGTCTCTCCTCGTAACGAAGCACGGGAGATGAGTGGTACTACACGCTTCGTGCAGTCGTGGCAGCGACCTGGAAAAACAGTGATCCAAAGCAGATGAGATCACGAATCGTTAGGCAGATTCGCCACGTGGACTTCGCGCAGCGATTGGAGACGTCTGTCCTTCGTGGGTGTGCTCGTTGCCAGAAGCCTCTCTGGTTGAACCAGGCTGCCCACATTCGTTTGTTCCTCCCATGCCTGATTACCTGGAATCACGGGTTCTTATGGCGGATTTTTCGTTATCACTCGCATACTGTGGGTGTTTCCTTGGTGCTAGAAAGGGCTTGTTCATAGCACTAAATATGATATAATGCATTTCATCACATTAACCAGTAAAGCAGCAAGCATGAGGCGCTTGCTATTTCGCCGCTGAAGATCTGCAAGCGTCCGGCCTTGAAGGAAGGCTTTCACTTTCACCGCGCGGTGCATCCGGTTTCTGGGCTGGACACTGACCGGGTGAAGGGGTTGGTTGTGGCTCATGAGAATGACCAGTTTCGGTGGCTCCATCAGTTCGAAAGCCCGGTCTCACCTGGAACGAAGATCTTGGTGCATTACCCGGCCCTGAAGTGTTCTCTCTGTGGGGGAATGCACTCGGTGCATAACCACAACGACTTCGTTACCGAGAGGCAGAACAACATCTCCAAGTGGAACCTCACAGTGGGGAGGATCCAGGAGCTCAACGGTAGAGATGGTGTTTCTTGCTTACATATTTGTTTCGCTCACGCTGTCGCTTCGTTTCTGCTGTCGGCGATCTCTGATTTTCAGCTGCGTATCTCCCGTCCGTGCAGCGGCTGCGACTGTAGCCACGACGACAACCAGGATCATCCTCAAGGACCCTGCGTTGGTGCTGGTCTCAACGGCGGGGAACAGGGAAGAATGGGTCTGCCTGCTAGAGTGCTGCGAGAAGGCGAAGGGCTCCTCTTTCGAACAGGCTGCTCATCATGCGCTTTCCCAGCGCCATCGGGGAGGGGTGGTGAAGCAGGGTGCTGCCACGCGCGTGCTCAAGGACATGTTGAACCTCCGTGTGCTGCGCAAGGAATATGGGATATGAGGATGGTTTCTGCAAGCAATGGAGAGAGGGAGGGGAATATGTTAGCACGTGTCTCACATGTGATGTATGCAATGATGTATAGTGTTAACACGCTCTGTTTCAGATGCTTTTCTCGAGCCCGTGGATGCTATGGGGCTCTCGCCGGGTTGATTAATGGATAAAACCTGCAAGCTGTCGGTGTGCGAGCTCAATGTCAACGGGCTCGGGAGTAGAGGCAAGCAACAGAACCTGAAAAAGTGGACAAAGAAGGAAGCTGATGTTTACGTCCTTACTGACACAAGGGTTGCTCCGGACCATGAATGTTGGAAACGGCTGAAATTTCACCATTGCCTGGCAGTGGCTAATGTGGATAGGGCTGGTGGAGTGGCGGTTGTCAGCAACAACAAGCAACTAACATTTGAGAATATCACGACGCATGCCTCGGGGAGGCTCATCCATGTTGAAGTGAGATGGGACACTTTCAACTTTGCGATTCTAGCGGCGTACCTGCCGGCGAGTGCGTGTAGCAGATTCACCTTTTTCAGGGACGAGTTGGGTCCGTTCCTGTCGAGGCTGAACTGCAGTGGCAAGCTGATGCTGGCTGGGGATCTTAATGTTGTGGAAGACCCGATTCTAGACAGGTCCCTGGTGGGTGGTTCGTCTGGGGAAAACGCCAGGATGCTGCAGTTGTTCAGCGGCTTGCACATGGTGGACGCGTTCAGGACGCTCAACCCGAGCGGCCGCAAGTACACCTTCTATGCGGGTGCAACAAAGTCAAGCTCCAGGATTGACCGCATTTTAGTATCGGCGGAGCTGCTCCCTTCGGTGGCGGAGGCGGTTCACACCCGCTCGCTGAGGGGCATCTCGGATCACAAGTGTGGTATCAAGGTGGTGCTGCAGGCGAGCCTGAGACTTCACGTGGGTCCAGGCATTTGGCGGCTACCATCTGCAGACACAGCAAAACCGGGGGTGGAGAAAGTGATTAAAGCGGTCACTGAGCGGCATCATGCGGAAGCATCACACAGTTTTGGAGGCCTCCTCACCAAGCTCAAAGCTGCATTAAGGCGCTATGCGGCGGAGGAACGGAAACGGGTGCGCGCGAATTTGAGGCACCTGGAGCTTGCAGTTTCCGGTTTGAAGCAGGAGCTGATGAGAAACCCTCAGCGGGATGACCTCCGGGTGACCCTGGCGGAGAAAGAGTCGCAGCTGGCAGCATATCTGAAAGGGGAGAATGACAGACTTCACCTCCTGGCGGGTGTGAAGGAGGAAACGAAAGGTGAGATTGCATCGCGAGTTCTCTCGGCGAAGGTGAAGTCGAAGAAAACGCGCACGATGATCACGGTTCTGGCCTCGCATGGGGTGGAGCAGAGGGGCACGAGGGGCATCCTGGAGGCTGCCTCCCGTTTCTATGCGGAGCTGTTCGCGGAGGCTCCCCCGTCGGGCCTGCCGTGCTGGAAGCCAGACCCACTGAAAACATTGCGGGAGCAGGAGAGAACTGAGTTAGAGGCGGACTGGTCAGAGGATGAAGTGAAAAAGGCGTTAAAGGAAATGGTGTGCGATAAGTCACCGGGCGGCGATGGTCTACCGAAGGAGCTTTTTGAACGCCACTGGGATCTGCTGAGGGAGGATTTCATGGGCTTCGTTAAGCAGTTTGAATCCTCGGCGGTTCTTCCGGAGGAAGTGCAGGAGGCGGTGACCATCCTGCTGCACAAAAAGGGGCCGAAAGAGCAGGTGCAGAACTACCGACCGATCACCTTGCTGTCGAGCTGCTACAAGGTGGTCGCGAAGCTGCTGGCTAACCGCATGAAACAAGTGCTGTGTACGGTCATATCGGAAGAGCAGCATGGCTTCTTACCAGGCAGGCGGCTCTTGGATGCTGTGTCGACGGTTGCTGATGTGATAGAGGCCGCGAGAAATGACAGTGAAGACTGGTACCTGTTAATGATTGATTTTCAGAAGGCGTTTGACTCCGTGTCACGTACGTTCCTGTTTGACAGGATGGCGCTGATGGGCTTCCCAAGGAAATTTATCCAGTGGTGTGAGGGGCTGCACGACGGCTCCTTCACCCGACTGCTGGTGAATGGTTGGCTGGGAGATCGGGTGGATGTCCGCAAGGGGGTGCGTCAAGGCTGTCCGCTGGCCCCGTACCTCTTTCTGTGCGCGGTGGAGCCGATCTGCCAGGAGGCAAAACGCAGGAGGTTAGGGGTCTGTGATGATCGGGGCGACAGACTGGCCTACGTGGGGTACGCGGATGACACAACGCTCGTGCTGAAGGGGACGAGGCGGATTGGGAGAGCAGAGGAGCTGCTGGAGGAGTTCGGTGCTCGATCTGGCCTCCGGATTAACAAGGACAAGTCGGCGCTGCTCCCGCTGGGGGCCAACCTGAAAAAGAAGAAGAGCGAGGGGCCAGACTACGCATGGGTCGATCCAAAGGAAGCGGAGAGGCTGCTGGGGGTCTGGGTGTCCCCATCCGGTAGTGCGGAAGTTACATGGGATAAGGCGTTATCAAGGGCGGCGGAGGAGTTGGTGAAATGGCAATTCCACCATTTAACGACGACGGCAAGGGTGGCGGTTGTCAACGCCTACATATGCCCGATCTTGGCGTTCCAAGGGCAAGTTTACCCTCCGTCAGACAGTGTATGGAAGAGGATCATGAAGCTGCTGGTCAATTTTATCTCGGGCAATAAAGCGTCGACAGAGCGCCACTTCACGCTCTGGAGCAGAGAGCTGATTTTCAGACCTCGGAAAGATGGCGGGCTGGGGGTGCGAGACCCGTTCGTGGAGCTCAGCGGCCTGGCTGCCAGGAGGGTAGGGAAGCTGGTGTTGGTCAGCAGCGGCGTACGCAGTTGGCTGGCGACAAAGGCTGCTGACCTCCCTGCTGGTTTCCGCTCCTTCTGGGCGCATCCGGAGTACCTGAAATCATGGGAAGGAAAAAGCGTCAGATGGAAGCAGACTTGCGAAATGTTTATGCGGTCGAGTGTTGCAAGAAAAGGTCCGGTCACGCGCTGGGACATTGCGCAGGAGCCGCTGGTGTACAATCGGCGGATCTTGCCGAATGGAAAGAAACCGCTCGGACGGCAGGAAGCGGCAAAGGGGCTGGAACTTTTGAAGCTTGGCGATTTTGTTGGCCGGGCAGAAGACGGTGTCCTCTTCTTCAAAGACGAGAAGCTGCTAACGAAGGAACTGGGCACGCGCAAGAAAGCGAGACGGGCGCTCAAAGCTTTTGCTAGCGTCCCGGATGATTGGAAAGAGAAGCTGATAGCGCCGATTACGGGAGAGGAGCTTATGGCAGAGTCGGCCTTTGTGAAGAAGAAGGGCCTGGCGGGTGTCTGGAAAGCAGAGAAGGTGGTGCAGGAGGGCCTTGTCTGCCGAGCGTGTGACTGGTTAGCTATGCCTCGGGAAGGAGCGGCGGAGGCAACTGCGGTTCCGAATTGCTGTGGACAAGGTGGAGCCGTTGTTGGTGAGAGGCGGAAGGGTGATTGGAGCAGGTGGCCTGCCCGATGTACGGTTGCGCTGCTCGGAGCTCTGCATGGACGACCAGCTCCCCCCCCTCAGGCAACTGAAGCTGCTTTTTGGCGCGCAGCAAGGGGAGATGCGGCAACAAGAGAAGTGGTCGGAAGAGTGGGGGATGGTGATTGACTGGAAGAGAGTCATCAGGGTGCGGGACTCCGCGGTGCTTCCGAACCGAGCCTGTGATGTCTTGCTTCGCCTGCATTGTTGTAACCTTCAGGTTGGGGTGAGGCTACAATTCCTGGAAGAGGTGGCGTGCCCGCACTGCGGAGAGGAGGAGACGGCGGAGCACTGTTTGTTCAGCTGCCCTCGGATCCAGCCAGTGGTGCAGGGGCTGTTGAAGGCCCTTCGGATTATCAACCCGGGCAGGAAAATCACCTCGCTGGGGGATCTACTGTATCAGAAGGAGGGCTCGAGTTCGGGCTTCCCAGAATCTACAATCACAGCCATTGCTTTACATAAGATCTGGGTGGAAAGGTGTGACGCGGCTTTTGAGAGAGGGAGGTTTCGGTCCAGGAGGGTGCTGCGTAGGATTGTGGCAGCTTTTTACACTCACACGAGGATCTACCTGCGGGGGAAAAAGAGGAGTAAACGGGCAGGAGACATGCTGGGGCCGGGGCAACGTTCTATCCTAGAGCGGTTGGACCAGGACGAATTTCGTCTGGTAAGCAGGATCTGTGACAACTCGGCAAAATCGCTTGCGTGGACCAGTGGCTTCACCTCCATCTGGGCCAATCCGCGCACGTTTTTCCATCCCCCTTAAGTTGTCAGGATGGGTACGATGGCAGGCTGCTGTCTAGGCCCATCAGCTACAGTTACGACTGTTAATGCTTGTATGCGCTACTATAGTGTAACTTGCATTGCCAAAAAAAAAAAAAAAAAAGTAAAGCAGCAAGAATTCCTTAAGCTCGCTGCCATGGATTCCTCCTGCTTCAGACTGCGAAATGTACTGATATCAGCATCTGAAATTAACAAGCTTTGGATCTGCCTTTTCCCTCGCTTTCAATTACTACATTTTCTATGGCTAAACGACAGACACCAGTTCATCTGATTACCGTAAAAGGCATCTAGTTTCAAATGTTGTAGCCTGTAGTGAGGTTTGTCTTAGGGGGTACAAATGTTAGGGTTTGTTATATGTACCCCAACCTGCATCAATGAAACCAACACTTTCAATTCTAACATGGTATCACCTAGGTTAGGATCCTGTGGGATCCCGCTCCTCTCGTTCACGTTCGTTCCGCCCGAACCTGTCCAGCTCTATCGTACTCGTCGTTCCCGTCTTGCACGAGCCTAGTGCCGGCCCGATCTAGTCCCGTTCGTTAGAGCCCGCTGCGCCGACTAGCCTAGCGTCGCGCTCTTTCCCGTTGCCCGTCCCCTCGCGCTCCCCCCCGCTGTCCGTCGCGTCGCGCTCTCACCCGTCACCCGTTCCTCCCCCCCCCCCCCCCCCCCCCCGCTGCTCGTCGCGTCGCGCCCTCTCCCGTCGCCCCCCGCATCGCGCCCGTCGCCCGTCGAGTCGCGTCGCGCCCGTCACCCGTCGCCCGTCGCGCCCGTCGCCCGTCGCGCCCGTCGCCCGTCGCGTCGCGCCCGTCGCCCGTCGCGTCGCGCCCGTCGCCCGTTGCGTCGCGCCCGTGGCCCGTGGCCCGTCGCGCCCGTCGCCCGTCGCGCCCGTCGCCCGTCGCGTCGCGTCGCGTTGCGCCCTCCCCTCCCCGCTGCCCGTTGCGCAAACCCTAATCGCTCGCCCTACCCACCCGCCTTACCTACGCCCTCTCTAACTGTCCGCCCTACCCGCACCCTCTTGCCCGCCGCTGCGCCAACTCGTTCCGCCCGCCGCCGCGCCTTCTCGATAGCCCTGCCGCGGGCCCTCCCTTCGCGCCGCGCTACGACCTACCGTTCTAGCTGCTTCTAGTTTCGCTATGGCGACCCCTCGGGTCCTTCGTTTTGACGCTGACGGCCGACCACTCGAGTTTCCGGTCTGGCTCCTACGCGCGCGTCGCTTGTTAGAGAGTCAGGTTCAGTCGGGCGAGACCCTCTGGGCCCACGCTAGTGGTGTCCTCCCTGCGCCCCCCGACCCTACGCCTTTAGGCCCTGCCCCTGACGACGCTGCCAGAGACCGCTTTGCCCGGCAGCGCGCTAACCTGACGGCGTGGACGTCGTGTGACGCTGCGGCCTGCATTGTCGAACTATATATGTTATACTTGTGTAGGCTGTAGTGGGGTAGCTAATATGGGGTACAACCCCTCTAGGGTTTGCTACTTGTACCCAACCTTCTTTCAATGCAATCATTCTTGCCTAGACATTCTAACATGCATCGCACTCAGCAACCTCCTCCCTGAGTTTGAGGAGGCCCACTTCACTCAGTTTCGCACTGCTAGCGAGTACCTGACTGCGATTAAGGCCCGCTACGCTACTCCCACCACTGTCTCTCTTGGCCGACTCTTCCTACCGTTCCTGTTCCCTGATCTAGCCTTGTTTGAGTGCTCTGCTGACTTGATCACTCACCTGCGCTCGCTCGACTCTAGCTCCCGCGCTGCTTGCACTGACGCACAGCTTGCACTGCTTCCCCCCCCCCCCCCCCCATGGCGATTACTATCTATTTCATCGCCACTAGCCTCCCTGACCGCCTTGCCTCGGTTCGTGACGCGCTTCTTCAAAGGCACCCTAGTGAGCTCACTATCGAGGTCCTTGAGTCATCGCTCAAGGACGTTGAGAGCAACCTTCACTCTGTTGCCGCCGCCTCTGGTGCTGTGCCCCCTCCACTGTTTCACGGGTGCACTGTCCCACGGTTGCCCACCTTTACTGCCGCTCTCGCCACTGCCACTACTGACGTGACCGCAGCTGCTGCTACGACTTCGTCGCGGTCTTGGGGTAGGGGTGGCAAGAGGGGCAGTCAGAGTGCGGGCGGCGGCGGCGGTGGAGGCGGGGGTGGTGGGGCTGGAGTCGCGACCGGTGGTGGTGGGAGTGCAGGGTCTGGAGAGGCGTCTCGTGCAGCGCCCAGTGACTCCCCTGCTGCAACTGGTGGTGGCGACGCCCGAGTTCGTCAGTTGCCTCCCGTTCTACCGGCCGCAGTGGGTGGAGCAGCGGCGTGGTACCTGACTCAGCGACAGCAGCAGCAGCAGCAGCAGCCGCTCCCCTCGCCGCACCCCCCGCACCAGCAGCGGCAGCAGCAGGCTTCGGGGTCGGGCCAGCGTCAGCTCCAGCGAGCTGCTGTCCACCCTCCGTGCACCTATCCGGTTCAGACAGGTGCTCGCCGGGGTCAGCCGTGTGGCCGCACTCACCCTCCTGGTCAGTGCTTTGCTCAGCTTACTGACACGGTTCGTTTGGCCTTCGGCGTTGGCGGCCCTGCCCCTGACTGGTTTCCTCTTGTTCAGACGTACGGCTCCGCTCTGTGGGGCATGTCTGCTTCTCAGTTAGTTGATCTCTTAGGAACTCCTCATGCTATGTATGTTGTTGTTGACTCTAGTGCTTCTGACTCTATTTACTCGAGTGTTGTTAGCTTAGGTGCTAGTGTTGCTGATTTGCCTATTGCTAGTGTAGGTACTTGTGTAGACACTAGTCCAGGAGCTGCTTCGGAGGAGGCCTCGCTGTCTTTCACTCTGGACTCTGGGGCTTCGCACTGTTTCTTCCGCGACCACACGACGCTTACACCACTTCCTGCGCCGGTCTCTGTAGCACTGGCTGATCCCACTTCGGGACCAGTCACTACTCGCTACACTACTACGCTTCCTTGCCCAGCTGTTCCGACGGGCTCACTCACGGGTTTCTACGTCCCCTCGTTCTCGAGGAACTTGGTGGGTGTGAGGCCTCTCGCGAGTCAGCACGTGGGTGTGTGGGTTGAGCCCTCTGGCGAGACTGCGGTTTGTGTGGACGGGGACTCGTACACGCCTCTAGCCACCTTTATTTCTGAGCCGGGCTTCGGCCTCTACACACTTCGCACTGGCTCCCGAGGGCAGCAGCAGCAGCCGCACCACCAGCAGCAGCAGCAGCAGCAGCGGCGGCTACTGCCCCCGGCTCCTGTCCCTACCCCACGTCTAGTCCCTGCGTCTCACCAGGTTGCTGCGTCCCCCCAGGTAGCTGTGTCTACTCAGGTTCCCGTGTCTGGTCCGGTTGCCGCGTCTTGCTCCTGCCGGTCTCTTGCCCACCCCACCGTTCTGTGGCACCACCGGATGGGGCACCCGTCCATTCCTCGTCTGCGTGCTATGTCTAGTCAGCGTCTTGTCTTAGGCCTCCCGCGTGTCTTGCCGTCGCTGCCGCCGTCCCTTGCGCCACCGTGCGGTCCTTGCGTCGAGGGTCGGCTGCGCGCCACCCCTCACTCCTCCTCCCTTCGTCTGGCCACCGAGCCTTTTGAGACACTCCACTTGGACGTCTGGGGCCCCGCCCCTCGCCCTGGCCCCGAGCGTGAGCGTTTCTTTCTGGTGGTCGTTGACGACTACTCCCGCTACACCACAGTGTTCCCACTGGTGAAGAAGTCTGAGGTGACTTCTATGCTGATCAGGTGGTTGCTTACCACTGAGGACACTCGTGGTCGTCGTGTCAGCTGTCTTCACTCTGACCGTGGGGGCGAGTTTCGCTCCGGCATTCTCGCTGGATTCTGTCGCGAGCAGGGCATTCGTCAGTCCCGGACGCTTCCGGAGTCCCCACTGCAGAATGGGGTTGCTGAGCGCCGCATAGGCTTGGTCATGGAGATCGCCCGCACCTCCTTGACTCACGCCCATGCCCCCCATTTTCTGTGGCCCTACGCGGTTCGGTACGCCGCTCACCAGCTGAACCTCTGGCCACGTGTCTCTCGGCCAGAGGTTTCACCGACCAGTCTTTGGACCGGGTCCCCTGGTGTTGCGTCGCGGTTTCGTGTCTGGGGTTGCTTGGCGCTTTTTCGCGACACCTCTGTGGACAAGCTCTCGCCTCGCGCCGTTCCCTGTGTCTTCCTTGGTTTCCCTGAGGACTCCTCTGACTTCACCTTTTACCACCCTCCCTCTCACCGGTTCTTTTACTTCCATCACGTCCGTTTTGAGGAGTCCACCCCCTACTACGTCAGGTACCCCTGTCGAGGTCTCCCAAATCCTCCTCCCCCTCTCTTCCTCACTTCCGCCCCCCCTCCTGCTCCCCCGGTACAGCCTCCCCCCCCTGGTCCA